TCTTTTTAAAATCAGGACCATATTTTTCTATAAAAGTTAGAATTATAGCATCTTCTTCAGGAAGAAATCTTCCCTTTCTTTCTTGAGTAAGTCTTAAATACTTGTTGTATACTTGTACTTTTGTTCGGTTTTCCATTGATGCTGCTACTTTTGCCCATGGAATGCAATTTCCAATTTTAAAATAATCAGCTAACCTTTTTAAATATTCTTCTTCTTCTCGAGTCCACTTTCTTGTTACTTGAGATTTCATTGTATTGCTGCGAAAAGAAATAAAACACTGAAATTGTGTACGACTACTATTTAATTCTTTTGCAATTGTGTCCCAACCCTGATAGTTGAATTTATGTGCTATACCTAGTAATCTTTTTGCTTCAGCTTCTGACCATAATTTTTTATTAATAATTGGATGTAGAAACAGTTTCCACATTGCTCTATACTCATGAGGTTTGTGTCGTAAGTTAAGTAGACTAGCAACATAATTCCAATCATATTCCTCATCAATTGGTAGAGCTAAGTCTTTCAAGGACTTGTTCTTTAGTTCACCCATTTCAATTTTCAGTTTTGTTATTTGGCCTTTGAAAGATTTATTTGTTTTAGCTTTACGGCATAGGTCATTTAGCTTGGCCTTAATTTCTTCTTTTTTTATTTTTTCTGAAACTGAATGCATTATTTTCATAAAGAAATCTTTGTTGCTAAGTGTCCAGCCAATCCCAAGTTGTACAGTTGAATAATCCAAAACATCAGCCTGTTTTTTGAGGAAACTTTCTTTGTTTTCTGGAGGCGAAAAGCCATTCCTATCTTTGAAATAAGGTTTACCACAAGTAATATGGCGGAAAGATGTAACAGGAAGTTTTTCCTTTGTAACCATATTTTGTACTGCTTGTAACCGCTGACGGCATTCACGTAGACGGTTGTGAAGTTTTATTTCCAGGATTTGGAGTTTTTGATCATATAATTTATTTAAAGCAATTGTAGTGTCGATTTCAGACATTTCGTCAAGTAGACTGTCGGATATGGACACTTTAGTATTAAAAGAGTACTGCGATGTGTCTCTACTGGGACCGGCATTGTCATCCGCTAAGGCCGCATTCAATTTCCGTAAATCTTCAAGCTCTGCCTCTTCATCGGATTCAATGTCTAAGTCCGTATCACTCATTCTTGCCAATAAAATTGAATATATATAACCTAGGTAAAATTAATTAGGAGCTAAATTTATTAATATATTTATACATTACATTACGCGTTAATTAATATATTATGTTGATGACTGATGTATTATTTATATTTTACAAGGTAGTAATTAAAATATGTACGTCTATGACATAAACTTAAAAGACATATTATGTAATATGTTTGACTTTGATTATTTGATAATAATTATAGTTTCACTTTCATATTATATCATCTTATATAAACAAAAGTACTCTGTGGTTACCATTTGATTGCACCACAGACTAGGAAGATTGTGAGCCGAAAAACCACACGAACCGCGCTAAAACTAACGATGGGATATTATGTTGGTTCGTTATTTTCTCCTGATGCGGAAAATTAAGATCAAATAAAGATAGTAGTAGTTTTTGATGTGAATCATCTATAGCCGCACGTAAAACCGATTTCTGTCACGCTATATGATGGTATATGCAGTAGTGTGTACGGTGTGTGTATTTCGAAGTCACTGATTAAACGAATTACGAAGTAGTCACGAGTTGAAATAAATTCGTAAATTTTTGTATTTAATGAAAATAAATGTTTATTCAATTAATAGTCATCGTTATCTGGAAAAAAAATCGTAATATTTTATTTCATCATTATGACATATTTAGTTCCTATCACAATCTGTTTTTCTCTGCATATTACTTTTACAAAATAATGTCGATGTTTCACATCTGCCAGGCGTCCCGTGACGGCTCACATTTTTTTAAATCTGCGGTAGTATCGTCGTCTGGAGACATTTACCGACAAAAGCTTTACTTTAATATACGTATACGTATAACATACTCAACCAATTTGGCATTAACCTAAACCTAACCTACCTATTAACATTTTTAATTAGTATTTATATAATTTGAGAATTTTTTATCTTCATTCATTCAATCAACTTACATTCATCTCCGAGTCTTCCCCAGCATGAAATAAAAATATCAGATCACAAATATAGAGAGATCATAAGCGAAATCGGTGACAGCAGTCGGAAGGAGTACAGCTCCACTCAGACAGCAGGGGGAGCAGCTTCCGGGATCTGACACACTTTTCAGACAGATAAAGTCTAAGCATTTCCAGAATCAAACACATGCAGTCTGTTCTACCTCTCAAAACAATGAAAACGAAGTAGCTTGCCAAGTTAAAGATAACAAGAAATCTTTAGCGGTATCGACCCTTCTGATTACCCAACAGGGTATAACAAAATAGGTGAAACCTATTTTAAAATTATCGGTGTTGTTAAAATGAAAGCTAGAGAAAACTCCCAATGACACTGATTCAATATTAATTCTAGGAGTTTATTTTTGACACTCCAAGCATACGCTGCGACTGACTGACTGAAGAAACATACATAGGGCCCATTTATTAAAAAATATATATATAGAGGGCCCATTGATAAATCGAAATATTTTAAGATCATCGGCAAGAGTAGTATTTCAGATGTTTGAATTGCGTCGGGTAGTAAGTCATTTATTAATATAAGAAATATTAGCGGTCCAAGGTTCGAACATAGGCTTATTATGACGCTCTGGACGTCTTGGGTATGTTTTGGAAACAAATGGGCAATACTTAACAAACTGCTGCCGGTCAGATGACAATCACAATTAAACAAAAATTATAAGTGTTGTTTATTATAGATACAAGAAAATGGCGCTGGTATACGATGGCGAATATTGTTTGTAAAAGATTTACAGCATCCAAGCTACGGAAGTATCAGGGGGTTTAGCCATATTGATGCCGAAAAGTATTCTACATACAATACCGCTTTTGCGTAATTGTATTGTCGAAAACGCTACGTTCGCAGCCAAGAGACATGTTACTTCACTACCGCAAAGTCGACAGCGTAGCTCCGAGCTTCTGTTCATTCCAACTTATTATGTCATATTATCGCTGGAATAACTGTATTCCTAATGTATATTTATAAACCTAACAAACATTGAAAACTTCACAATATTATTTCATTTTAATAAAGATTTTAAAATAGAAACCTAGCCTGGTATAAAAAATTACCGTTAATTAACTTTTGATTGATTTTGGTGCTCCAACCTTATCAATCTTAGATATAAATTTAAGTTTCATGCTGATTTAAGGTTTGGTCAAACAGCGGGCAGGGCGGGGCAGCGATGGGGCGCCGACGGGACGTGAACAGTTGCAATGTACTAATTGATATAGGACATGTCACACAGAGCCGCCGCACCCGACGGTAATACAACAAAAGTACGGCGGGACGGGGTGCGAACGGAGTGTACTGATACTAGTTGTGTTATATGGGTATTCGTTGTAGTAGTCAAACAGACAGCGGACGCGACACGTCTCGCCCGACGTGAAGACAGCTTTGTATTCGTCTACAAAAATGGACATGGAAAAAGTTGAAAAACACATCGAAAGTGTTTAAATAATCAAAATAAATAATAAATTAATCAATAATAATATATCGAATTTGATTTCCCCCAAAAATCCCCTGCCTGATGCCTTTAAATACAAAAAAAAAATTCTTGTATAGTTACTGAATTTTCATGTAATTTTAGAATTTGTATTTAATTAAAATCACTTAGTTCTTTGACAGCTCAAGCAAACATACAATTAGTAAGATTAACCACACGGATCCTTCTCTTACGATGTGTTCGTACTTCAAATTAACAGTTTCAAAGACTCACATAATATAAATATTTATAAAAGATATCCAATACAACTAAGATATGCGACTTTCATAAAATTATAGCTTAATTGAAATGAAAGAAATATTTACCTGTACTAATTTAATTAATAATATAGACTCTTAACTTAAACAATATTAACTCTAGTTTAGATCATTATAATTTTAAGAGAACGTTTAAAACAGTAAGATAAAATCAAAATTACAATTATTTAATAACATAAAAAAATGTTTTCGTTAAAACGTCCAAAATATAACTTGTATTTAAAACGGTAGCCATTAAAGACGGCGATCGGGGTACCGAATTATAACAAACATTAATTATCTTTACTGCTGAAACATTAATTGGCCGTTGACTACCGAAAAGCGTGAGCGTTAATTTGTGTCATTTCGTAGCACTGTCATGGCGTTGCTTATTGTATCCCGACTCACGCCTTTTGGGTCTAGGCTACCGACTGTCGACACGAGCTGTCATTTTCATACAAATTTAGTTTTCGACTATCTACATACACTACTGTTAAGGCATCTTGTCTAGGATCTAGAAGATGTCATAGTGTGCATCAAGCATGATGAAGTAATCAACAGAATTTGATGACTTAACTATTCACCCATACATAACTCATATAAAGTTTAGAGCCAAATAGCTAGATGTCCTTACTTTTTTACGCGACTGCTTTTGTTATTATTCTAAAATAAAATGGGGCTTGATGCAAAATCACTTATCATAAACGCTTAACGAATTATTGCTCACAGTAATTTCCCATACATTAGTTCACATTTGCAATTTCGTTTGGGGGTTACGCCTGACGAAAAGTGACTTTATCTCAAGTCCCTAAATGTTATGGTACTCAATCTTTTAACAGCAGTTTACAATCTCGCGATCTGACGGTATTTACAATTTTACAGTGATATATTCTATTCTATAGGTGAGTTAGTGTTTAGTGTATAGATATTAGCTACATCCACAGACTACAGAGCACTTGTGTATATCATCAAAGTTTTATTGATATAAACAAATTCAAATATTTAAATTGTGTTAAAAACTTAAAAGTAAAATATTAGTAATAGTAAAAGCACAATTTACCCTAAAATATAGTAAGAAATATGAGAATTATACTACTATATAATTATACTTTCTGATGAAATGGGAGAAACTGGTGTAATAAGAAAATTAGATGAAGATGTAGTAAATCGCATAGCAGCGGGAGAAATAGTACAAAGGCCAGCCAATGCTTTAAAAGAATTAATGGAAAATAGGTAAGAATAGTTTTTTCAACAGCTCAGAGAATGTTGACAATTATAACTACTATTTTATTTCAGCTTAGATGCAAAAGCTACCAACATTGTTATAACAGTTAAAGCAGGAGGGCTAAAATACTTACAGGTAACTAAATTTAGTACTTAGAAAGATTTACTTTTTTCTATAAAATCCTGCCTGTCTGGCTGTGGAATGAGAATGACTATACCTGTTAAAAATATTAATGAATATTTTTACTACTAAGCCCTAGTTATGTCCATTGTTAAGTTTTACTTTTTATCTAAAGCTATGTGCTTAACCTGATATTAAAAAAAATATAAGCATATTGTTTATTATTATAGATACAAGACAATGGCACTGGTATAAGATTTGAGGATCTAAATATTGTTTGTGAAAGATTCACAACATCAAAACTACGGGAATATGAAGATCTGCAAGTTATTGAAACTTATGGGTTCCGAGGTGAGGCGTTGGCTAGTATAAGTCATATAGCGCATCTCACTATTCTTACTAAAACTGATGGCAGTAAATGTGCTTATAAGTAAGTTTAAAAAAACTAAATGACATATTTTATATAAAATAGGTTTTTAAAATAAAATAAAAATACTTTCTTCATACTTAAACTAAATACAGTACATATTATGCTACCTTAAATATTAAATTATATTACATATATATAAATAGCCTAAAAGAGCACCTATTCATTTCTATAATCTTTGCTCTTTCTAGTGTTAAATAATTTATATAAATAATTGGGCATGACATAAGTTAATGTAAAGAATTTAAAACTGCCATGTAATAGTATTTTTTAATTTAGCAAAATATACAATATACATTAAAAATATGTTACAAAAATTTAAATAATAAGGTTATATTTTGCGCAATTTAAGACTGTAGAAGAGACAGTGGATTGTAATATTTTATAACCTTACCTGTCGCTGACTCCGGTGTGTATGATGCATTAGTCATTAAAAAGTAGTAACACTAATAACTGATAAAATAATATTATTTTCGACTTTCCTGTACTTTACACCACATAATGGTAACTTTTAGGTATAAAGAGTCACTGGATGGTCACGAAACCTTTTACTATTGGGTACAGAAGAACGTTACGGTGCGTTACATGGGGGGGGTGTTAATAATCTCCAAAAATTGCGTGACGTAATTAAATTAAATTAAATCTTAATATGTCATTATTGAACGCTCCCTAACCCTATAATAGATTTTTATCGAAAGTACCAATGAAGTTTTTAAATTTTAGGGCATCATATGAAAATGGAAAACTCAAAGGACTTCCAAAACCATGTGCAGGCAATAATGGTACACAAATAACCGTTGAAGATCTGTTCTACAATGTGTTAGCGAGAAAGCGTGCTTTGCGTAGCCCTAATGAAGAATACACACATATAATGGAGGTTGTGGGAGGCTATGCTATTCATAACAGCCATGTTGGGTTCACCTTGAAGAAATTTGGTGAAAATATAGATATAAAGACACCAATAAATTCTTCTGCTGTTGAGAATGTTAGAATTGTAAGTGGGAGTACTTACAATTATGGCATGAATTGTTAGTTATACAAAAGTCCTTTTTTCGGACATTAACTATTTAATGTACTATATAAGGAATATAGGGAAATGTTATGCATGCAAGAATCTGGGTATTAACTCTGGCACTCTTTCATTGGTTGTAATGGTTAAGAAAAACGGTGAATAATATTGGCCTACTTACCTGTAAAACTAATTATTAAAAAAAGACGCAGAAAGAAGAAGATCTCTCAGTCTCATACCAATTAATTGGTCATGTACTTATCAGTGTTATAAAGAAAAACTATTATATTTTTATTAAAGTGAAAGTTATATTATACAATACTGACTGTTATGGTGCTAATTGTTGCAAAAACACAGACAATATCGCATTTTTATAGCATTTATTACTGTACACACCCTATTTTCCAGATACATGGCAATTCAATAGCCCGAGAGCTTTTAGAAATAGAATTAAAAGATGAAACACTAAAGATGTCCGTTCATGGATTCATCACAAACGTCAATTATTCAAATAAAAAAGGCAGCTTACTTCTATTCATCAATCATCGACTGGTGGACTGTGTATGTATGTACATGTTTTGGAAGATTTTATACCTTGGATGCATTGATATACAAAAAACCCAAGATGCACAGTCTCGAATAAAAGTAACGCTCGAAAGTGTCCCGAAACACTATTTCTGTCCATAACAGTATATGTTACAAGCATATATTATTGCAAAATCAACCTTACGCGAATTGCTTAAAGTTGTTATTACAACGCAGTGTATACGTACTTAAAGCAATACAATTTTACGACCGACCGTGGTCGGTAGGACAAGGTATTGAGTGGAGTCGAACATGACTTTTTTATTTACAACTATTTAACATAATTTTAAATTTATCCGACTTTTCGGGTGCTTTACAGCGTGAGTGGTCACGGTGACTGAAGACAAAAGGTGTTGGATGTTAATTAGTTGTAAATTTATAATAATACATAACATTAATCCGGTTAAAAAGTTTTTTCTTTAAATTAAAAAAAAATGTTAAATTGGCTACCTCCTGACCCACACTTTATATAGCGTAAATATATTTGTCAAAAACTACACACAAAAAAGTTCAAGAGTACATAAATTTATTTATAAAAAAAACACAAATAAATAACATCGACTCCACTTATAGACGCGAGACTATTTGAAATGAGCGCACAATTTAGAATGTTGCGCTCATTTTTTGAGGACGTTTTTTAGACGTTGATTGTGCATCTTGGGTTTTTGTATATCAATGCTTGGATGGTTAAATTTAACACTTTCCAATAAAGTTTAATTTAGCATATACAAATGAAAATGGTATTTATTCAGTTATTCTCATACAGAGAATAACTGAATAAATACCATTTTTTTTTTCTTTATACACCATCACAGAGTCTTATTAGTAATCAAAAGTTTCTTACTCAATGTTATGCAAAAAGTTTATAAACAATGTCTCACATATATATGGCAGCTCACCAGACTTTATATATTTTAGTAGATATTATATAATATTCTAATTTAATATGCTAATGCGTGTTGTTCCCACGAGAATTTAAGTGTGTGCTCCTATTTCACCATGCCTCCTGCTGATAGAGTACAAGTCTTTGCTTTTTTTTAATTTATGTTATTATTATGTATTAATTACTTAATATGTCATGTGGAACATGGTGTAATGGTTGCAGCTCCTTACAAACGTTGTGTAAAAAAAAAATGGCGATTAAAAAGAGTGGCCAGTTCTTCCGTTCTACGCCCTTGATTTGAGAACTGGCAGTAAATGTAAAATTAGAAGCATTAATATCTATTTTTTTACTGAGTCATAAGTGTACATTATGTTACCTATATAAAAAAATGATTTTTTTACTTTTTACTTTAATAATATAACTGAAATGCTTTTTACAGTATTTTAATTATGGGATTTTTATTTCAGCAATACGAAAAGCATTAGATGCCGTATACTCAACATATTTACCGAAAAATGCGCATTCCTTCGTCTACCTCAGTATTGAATTAGGTAAGACCAACATTTTTATAAGAAGGGAGGGGCTCTTTGACTTCTCGATAATATATATTATTCCTGCTTTTTTTTTAATTTTGATAGTCTGTTCATAATTACGTACGTCGTTTTGTACGTGTGACGTTCATTTGTTTGAATATGAAATATAAGATTAGATAAAATAGGGCAACTTCAAGTTAGCGATAGCAAGCAAACGATTTTCTATCTCTTGTATTTTTAATTTTTAATGTAGTCCATAAAATCTTTAAAAAAAAAACATTTTTCTTACCTGTGACTTCGTCCATTTTAATGTCATGGGTAATCTGTTGGCGCCAATGCAATTTTATTTTATTTATGTAACATCGAAAATAATAAAGTTATCAGAGGTCACCACTAACATAGAAACACATTACATTAATTGTTTATTATAAAATACACATTTGTAGTTCATAGTTCAAAGCAATAAAGCAGGCATTTCGATTTACAAAAATTTAAACATTGCAATTGGTTTTACTTGCAATACTATTCAATCAGGACTTATCATATTTAAAAATTTAAACTTTTTTCCAAATACAGTAAACGTCCCCCATATAACGCGGCATTTCCAACGGTATATAAGTGATATTGTATAAATGCAAGTCATAATGTACTTACGTGATTAAAAAACCTCTGATTTTAAACTTTTACTCCTTATCTTCCATATATGCCAAATAAGACAATGTGATCTTTCAGACCCTCGTAATGTAGATGTGAACGTGCATCCAACAAAGCATGAAGTTCAGTTCCTGTATGAGGAACAAGTTGTTGAAAGGATTAAATGTTGTGTGGAGAGCAAACTTATCAGCTGCAACTCTTCTCGGGTGATGTATACGCAGGTATACGTTTTCTCTCTTTTACTTCAGAAACGTAATCTTAATATATATAAATTACGTGTCACGTTGTTTGTCCGCTATGGACTCCTAAACTACCGAACCGATATCAATCAAATTTGCACACCGTGTGTAGTTTGATCCAACTTAATAGCTTACATCTCAAAATTTATACCCGCAATATTATTTTATTGCAAAATATTTGTTTATTATTTGATAGTCACAATAATTCTAACAGATGGCGCTGTGTTGAAAGTACCAACGTTTCACATAAGCTACAATTTAGTGGCATAACCACCAAAAAAGCATGGTGTTCCCCATGACTGGTGTTCTCCTACCGTTTCCCTTGAATAGTTTGCTACTATGTAATATAACAAAAACCTTAGCCACAGCAACGCTTGGCCGGTCTGCTAATCTCTTATGTATATACACAAATACGATATAATATTACAAGTTCTTTAAACTTTTGTTAGTCCACAATAAATCTTCCCTTAGAAGAAATATAGTGAAATCAAAGCTAAAACGCTGGTTCTACCTTTAGGCATACCATGTTTCCAAACTAAATTGAACAATAATTTATAAAATTCCAGGCACGACTTCCGGGCGCAACTGCTGTTGAAGAAATCGTTAAGAAAACAACTGATGGCGCTAAAGTGTATGCGAAAGATTTGGTTCGGGTTAATTCAGACACTCAAAAAATCGATAAGTTCTTTCAGATCGCCGTCAAAAATGATGAATGTCAAAATCAAATTAAAAATATTCACAAAGAAATGGAAGCTGACGTAGAAACACGTGAAAACGACAAAGAAAGAACAGATATACGAAATGAAACAGAAGTTATTAATCCGGAAGAGAACTCTGAATTGGACATCGAAAATTTACCAAAAGAGGTCGAAAGAAGTAGATGGAAAGATATAAATATAAATCAGGCAAATCTAAGTTACATAGATCCAAAGGAATCGTTCAAAACGAGACAGTTCAAGTATGAGAGGGTAGAAACGAAATTGACGAGTGTAAAACAATTGAGGGTAGTCGTAGAAGATAGAGTTAGTAGGAATTTGAGAGAAATTTTGGCAAATTTAATCTTTATAGCCTGCATTGATTGTCACAAGTCGCTGATTCAACATTCAACGAAGTTGTATTTGTGTGACACAACTAGGATTTCGTAAGTTAAATTATTTTAATTTTTAAAGAAAGTCGGGTTTGTTCGATCAATTATAACTCGATAAAGGCTGAACCGATTTTCATGATTGTTGTATTTATCTCCGTTTCCGTCTCGAATAGCAGAATTAATAGTTAAATATATTACTAACTTTATTTTTTTTTATTACTAACTTTTATTAACTTTTTTTATTTTTTTGTTATTTTCTTAATAAAGAATACGGGACTTAATATTTATTTTATATTCATTGTATTAATCTTGTATTTATGTATATTTTTTTCTTTAAATTAAAAACGCATTTTTTCACGTCTCAAATTTTATATTTGTTTATAATTAAATTTTTAGTAATAGTGTTATTATTATTATTTTTGTTAATATGTACAATAATAATGGGTGTAGCTGTGACTCCAAGGTTATAAGCCCACTGAAAATCAGTGTTGATGTTATCCTGAAAATGAGTTTAGCCTTTCTAAAATTATTAAACAATTTTTTTTTTCAGTGAAGAGCTATTTTACGAAACGATATTGTACGATTTTCAAAACTTTGGACTTATCAAGATGTCCAACCCACTGCCCTTAGAAGAATTATTTGTTTTGGGACTCAACACCAATGAGAAAGAATGCAAAGATGAAGGTATTTTTAACCACCATTATGAAATCATAATTATAAACTAAATAGTTCGACTTCGATTCCTGGAAAAACAATACTTGTTTCCGCACAGAATGCATGTATTATGAATTAAATAATCAATAATAGTTAAGTGCTGTACTTTACAGTTAAAATTATTTTCAAACCGCTAAAACAATTAGATCTCTTATGATACGAGTTCCAACGTTTAGTGTCTATTTTAAGAAGACAATAAACAAAAATTCATCAAAATTGCTCAAGCCATCTTGGCGTAAAACCGTGATTATTATTTAGAGTTATTCTAGACTCCCTGAGAGATGTTTAAATACGATTTTTAATATGTTCATATATGTTTGAGGTGATATCAGGGCAATGGCGAAAGAAATGACAAAGCATCTACTGAGCAAAAAGTCGATGCTGTTAGAGTATTTCTCATTCGAATTAAATGATGAAGGAGAATTGTTGGCTTTACCTTTACTTCTTGGTAAGTTGTGGAAGCCTTTGAAACAAGAATATAAAAAAATCTGTCCAAAAACAGTCGTTTTTGCGATCGCTTTTTTTTAACAAAAATAAATTGCGAGAATGTGACACCACTGAAAATAACAATACTACATAACTCTAAGTATAGACTAATACTATGGATACTTAATAAAATACCATTTATTTCTTATTCTAATCTGGTAACATATAAATAAATATAAAATACACAATATATTTCGATCGAAATCAAGCTCCCAAGTACATATTATTTCGAAGTTTGCAACGTCATTGTCGATTCGACTGATCTGTAACTTCTTTGTGCCATGTGACAGACGTACGAAAATCAATATTTTTAATTATGGTTGTTTTAATAATTTAATTATTATATTATTCATATGTTATTTTACTAAATAACGCTTTCTAAATCCATGTTTTATTTGTCTCCCAATACTCTCCATTCGAAATAGTTAAATAGCCCATTATTTAATGTCATTAACCTGTCGTTGTTGACCTGGATAGTGATAAATTCATCAATTTAGTTTTTTTTATCATTTTAGAGTGTTTATTGCGCAAAAAATCATAATAACATTTCATTGACGGGTTAGCATGAAATAAGGAAATGGTGCTTTTAATTAACATGATTGTGGTCAAACGTAACGTAACAATCGTATTCGTGTACGTAATCACAATAATACATACCTACATTATTTTTACTAATTTTAGAGCATTAACGTCGAGAGCCTTATTAACCCGTTTGTCATTGAAGAAATTCGTACGAAATTTAAGTGAATCAATATTGGTCTATTGCAGATGGCCACACACCCTTCATGGGCGCACTACCAATATACCTCGTGCGACTAGTCACCGAAGTCAACTGGGATTCTGAAAAAGAATGTTTCGACACACTTAGCAGACAAACAGCAATATTTTATTCCCAGCCGAACCCTGACGATAATGAAAACGTGTTGAAAACGGAATTTTGGAAACAGGAACATATAATTTTCCCAGCGATAAGGCGGTATTTCCTCCCACCAACTAGCTTTGTTGATTCCGGTGCGATATTACAAATAGCCAGTTTAAGTGATTTGTATAAAGTGTTTGAGAGATGCTGAGCTGAGAAAATAAATGTTTTAAATTTATATTTTGTTTTTTATTTTGTAAACTATAATGAGAGAGTTAATTAATCAACTGGGATTGAATTCATTAGATAAAATCTCTTTGTAAATGTCGCTAAAGCGTTTCAATTAAAAAAAATGGGTGCGTGTACTTATGTAAGCGCGTAAGAAGTTATACTTCTTTGGCTTTCTTTATTTTTTTTAAATATTAAATAATTAATAATAAATATTTAACGTTAATAATATTTAATATATTATTCAATTATTATTATTTTATTCATTCAATTTAATACCTAGGTATGTTTCATAACCTTTTAAGTAAACCTCTAAGTAACAATAGGTCTTTGTGAAAAACCATTGCTAAATTTCTTTGAAAAAATTTCGTTAGTGGGCAACTACATTCTGATAATTTTGAGTCACGGTGCGCGTGCATCGTAAAATGTCACTCTCATAAATTTTTCATAACGCGCCTAAAGAAGTATAACTTCAAAAATAATAAAGTTCTCACAGACCAGGCGGTAGGGGACCATCTATATTAACTATGATTCAACACTAAGTATAGTCATATGGCTAATGGGGCATTTCACTAAGCAGATAGCGGAAAAATGGTGAGGTCATAGAATTTGTTTTAAATTCGGGTTAATCATACCTCTAGTTGGTATGAACGCAAATATGTTAAATATTTTATGATTTTTTATTTTTAAGTCATGAGCCTTCAAAAATAATGCTTCTTGAAATTCCGATGGAGTCGATATTCTAATAGGAATAAAATACAAAAAAATATCCCGCTTTGCAATTCGTACCTATAGAACTGTCTTTTCTCTTTTTGATTAGAAAATAAATTTTGAAAAATAGAAAAATTAGAAGTCTAAAAACCGGAAGTAAAAATTTTAAATGAGTTTTTCAAAAACTTTCAACTTTTTTGTTTACCAATTTTCTTATCCCAAAAATAATCAAAGTATACTAGAAGTTTAATATAAATGGTTTGGTGGACTAGTTAAGATAGGTAAATTAATGTACATGCATGTCGCACGTTACTTACTATTGTAACTAACTAACTATTTTATTTGTGTTCAAGCTCCGGCGACCTTGGAACACATGTATTATGTGTCTGTACCTACCACCAAAATGTGAAACTAATGTTAAATAGTGAAGATATTATAAACAAAAATACAAGTATAGAATGCAGGAACAATGTTTAATTTAGTACAGGTGGTTAATGGTGTTCATAATATGTTGTAATGTATCGTGAACTTTGTTATTGTAACCTAAAAAAGGACCGCAAATGACCTTAGTCTCAGCTTTCTCAAATAGTTGTTTGGAAACGCAGCCTGTAATTCCTGGCCTCGTCTGGTCAGCCATCTTGTTTTCATCCATTCCTCAACACAAATTTCGTCAGGTACATTAAAGGATGAAGCCGTTGGTATAACAACAGTGTAAAAGTATTCTAGTCACGCTTCAATATGAGACTAAAGATGAATAAATCGTCGTTTAATTCATGTTATGTAATTCACATTAATACTAATAGGAATATTAAAACACAATAGAAAAACAAACATTTATTAATCAGGTATCAACAACGTAGTTAGGGTGTACAACTAATAACGGATCATCTTCGACCTCCTGTTCAGATCTTTGAGTCGTTTTCAGGCCAGTGGTTGACAGAGGGATTATCACTTGGTCCTGGAACAAATCATATTTATTATTATATTTGTTACAATGCCTTACTAGGCATGTAGTGACAATTTCCAGGAAAATGTTTAGGATGACACAGAATATATTATGTACAAAAATTTATTTATTTATTTCCTTTAGCATAGTCTGTATGAGTATCTCAACTGTAGAAGTTGTATTGTTAAATTAGAATTGAGTTAAATAAATAAGAGTATGGAATAATTTTCGTTTCTGTTTTTCGGTGAGAATTATCCTTTGTTCATTCAGTACATGAATTTTAAATAATATGTTTGTATAATTATTGTAAATCTTGCCTAAATGTATATGTCCTCAACAACGCATTTTTAATTTTTTTTTAATTGTGTAATGAATTTGTGATTACTTATTATTATTTTACAAATTTATTATTCAAATCACGTTTATTTTTAATTAATGTCATTATATTAAATGAATAACGTCAAGTCAAATTAGTGTAAAACCGTTAATAGGAATGGTTAATTTCGAAATGACTATTCAATGGTGATAATAATAATGACTCCTAGTCATTATTATTATTAAACGTTATTTATCATAATTTTAAATATTAAATCAATGACTATAAATATTAAAGTAATCTTTGAACTCGTTCCTATGACTGCCGTTCGACTCTGTGGTCGATTCGGGTTCAGTCTGGAACGAGTACACAAAGGTCACAAACTGGAATTACAAATGCTGGTTGCTTAAATACAGGAACTGGTTGGTGTGGCCCTCAGTTCGATTGAGCGGTCTAACTAACAGAAGCCTTTAAACATAGACTCTCAATTCGACATTAAATGGCTGATGCCAACAACAATCTATGACAATAAGGAGAAGTATTTGTATAATATAAATAGTCGAATATTGATTATTCATAACAATTCAGAAGTGGGATAAGGACCAATCTAAGGTGCGTACAAGTGTTTTATACGATTATTAATGTATTGCTATAAATAAATAGAAATTGAACGCCCAGTTTTCTTTGGCTACTAGAAGTTATGTAGCCTATAGAGCCAAGTGTGCTTTACATACTAAAGGTATGTATGCCTAACGAGCCATGTGTACTAGTAGGTTATTGTGCCTACAATAGGAAGCAACTGCTTCAGTATAGTAGGCTATTATGCCTATCGAGCCATGTGTGCTTAATGGGTGATGTGTGCCTATTGGCATGTGTGCTGGTGGGTTATGTGTGCCTACATGGGAACAAGTTGCTTCACTACTAGAGGCTATGTATCCTGCCAGCATTGTGCTGGTCGTTAGAGGGTTATGTTGCCCACAATAGGAAGCAAGTGTGTTCAGTTACTAGAGGCTATGTATGCCTACCGAGCCATGTGTGCTGGTCGTTAGAGGGTTATGTGTGCCCACAATAGGAAGCAAGTGTGCTTCAGTTACTAGAGGCTATGTATGCCTACCAGCCATTGTGCTTGGTCGTTAGAGGGTTATGTGTGCCCACAATAGGAAGCCAAGTGTGCTTCAGCTACAGAGGCTATGTATGCCTATCATGAGTCATGTGAGTATCCTAGAGGTCATTGTACCTAGAAAAAACGAACATTAAGAGTTACTCATTTTTGTTATTAAAGTGAACCATTGTAATATTCATATAATATAAATAAATATTCATGGACTTATTTATAATAAAAATAAGAAAATTTGGTAACATTATAATATTTTAGATTTTGTTATTTCCTGAATTTGGTTTACTTCTATCACTCACTTGTGAGCATTTTATTGAACAATATTGTGTTAATATGAAAATTCTTTAGTAATACAGGTACAAGGAAATTTATACATAATTTGTAAAGAGTAATTTACAGACACAAGGAAGTAGCTTTTACCAGTAAGCCTTTTTTTAAGGAAGACTTTAAAATTATATATTTCCATCAAGTAAGTATATGAGAAGTCAATTATAACATTGGGGTTTACCTGTGCAGTAAGTTACAAACTATCAATTTTAAACTCCTATCTACCATAAGACAAATTATTGTAGCAGTGTAAAGGTAAATTAAAAATTTGAATTTATTGATGTCCTTAATGCCAACAGAATTTAGCATAAATAAAGCTTGTATTGTAGATTCTAAATGTGAATATCAGAATGTTTTTGGTGTCCATGTTTCCTCAGAATTGGGTGAACTTTAAAGAATTCACTCATTTAATAGGAATGTGCTTATTAAGATAGATTTTATTCTGTTAGTTATTTTTGACATCATGAACTTAAATAAAGCTTATAAAATACAAAAGCTTTATTTTTAAAGTAATTATAATACATATAACATAATTTTATGAATTAACTTTGTTTCTGGTTGAAGTACTTGTGGTCAAAAATAATAATAAAATCAAATGCAGATATATCACAGACTGATATAAAATATCTTGTGCAGTGTGTTATTAAGATGTTTGCAGTTGGTGTGGCCCTCAGTTCGATTGAGCGGTCTAACTAAGCAGAAGCCTTTAAACAGTAGACTCTCAATGTCGATATTAAATGGCTGAAAAACAATCATGACAATAAGGAGAAGTATTTGTATAATATAAATAGTCGAATATTGAGGATTCATAACAATTGAAAGTAATTATATTTATTTGGATTTATTATATAATAACAACAATGAAATGGCCATCAACGAAATGTCGATTTATGTAAATCATATAATGAAATCGCCTTTATATACATTAAAATAGCATTTATCTGAATCACTCACATGGTACATAAGCCGGTCGATAACCTTTTCGACCAGCGCCTTCTTGTCTACGAGTTCGTCTTCAGTCTCGATCTGCCCTCGCCCGACTAACTGCTCCAAATACCAGCTAACCACTGCGCTCTTGTGCACGCCAGCGCTTTCTTCGCCTGAAATAGACAAGTATTTTTTTAGATACTTAAAATAACTTAAGCCTATTATAAATAACATACACGAAATATATATAGAAAAATAAAACTTCTACCAACAATTGAATCTTTCATTACACTTGTCTAACAATATATAATCTAAAACCTACAACACAACAGAATGGATAAATTTTATATCAATCTTTGAAGTGAAAACTTCTTAGCGGCTGTACACTTTTTTAAAATGGGTAAAAAATTAAACTCCGTAGGACACGTGACCTGATCGAAAATTCGTAAGACGATGAGAGTGGACAGCTGGCGCGGCTTATTTAATGTACGTAATTAATATAAATAGTCATGTTTGTGTACGATAGCGCAATAAATAAATATTGTATTCCACCACATAAATGATAGTACTTTTATACTGATAATTAAAGCAATTCTTGCAAAATTATTCCCTAACCATTCCAAAATATCAAAAATGCACAACGTTAATATTCAAGTTTTCACTTTTTCAACCCGTCGTTTTTTTAATAAAGAATTAAGCATAGTAACAATGACCTTAAAAATTTCAATTTGTATTGAAAAAAGATAAACTGATTAAATGTCTTTATGACTGCCATGTAATTATGCAGATAATGAAGGTATTAACAAAATTCACCCAAGACTTCCTGCATTGCATTAAAAAAAAATGGTGCGTGTACTTATGTACGCGCGTAAGAAGTTATACTTCTTTGGCTTTCTTTATTCTTTTTAAATATTAAATTATTAATAATAAATATTTAGCGTTAATAATTTAACAATATTTAATATTTAGTATATTATTCAATTATTAATTATTATTAATAATAATAATTATTTATTATATTATATTATTAATTCAATTTAATAACTAGGTAGGTTTCATAACCTTTTAACTAAGTAACAAGAGGTCTTTGTGAAAAAGCATTGCTAAATTTCTTTGAAAAAATAATTAAACCTCCTTTATTTGTTTAAAAGGTACTACAAATGTCATTATGGTCATTCAAAATTCTTGGCATAGCTGCTAGCGTCACGCATATTCTATTTCTTTTTACTTGTAGATTGTCTTATTCCCATCTCACTCGCGCACGCTCGGCGCCTATTCTGATAATTTTGTGTCACGGTGCGCGCGCATCGTAAAATTTCACTCTCATTAATTTTTCATAACGCTCCTAAAGAAGTATAACTTCAAAAAATTGAACTAAGTATATATAAAAAAAAATATATGTTGGCATTAAAATCCATGGTTGCAACTAGAGTGGTTTTAAAAAGAAAATTAGATTATGTAATGTTTACCTCTATTTTCAGCTTCGCCTTCCTCCTTCCTCATGAAAACAACGATCATGTTACTCAATGACTTGTATTCCTCGAATGACAAAGTTAGTTTTTTCTTTGGCGCCGAGTCGCCGTTCACCGTCTCACTCGCTGAAATTGTTAATAAATTAAATCAAAATCTAATTTTTTCATATAATTACAACTCTATAAAATAATGTAAGTGAACATATCAAAATTACAATTTGTCATCTACAAGTTAGTTAAATATTTTATTTGTTAAAATGTACATTTAATAGTTTATTTTTGTTTACTTTAATATCCGTTACAGAAGTTTTAGAAAAAAAAAATCTATAAGTATAAAATAAATAAAACAATTTAACGAGACACAATTATTTTTTGATTCTTTAGTTAATTAAGAATTAGGCAATAAATAAGGAATAAAAGTAACCTATTGTGGCAGGTGTATCATTGTCCACGTCCATACTGGGCTCATACTGCGGGTCCTCTTCGTCTAAATGTATGTCAGGCTGCTCCACACGTATTATTGACTTGTTTAGCAATCTGAAAATGTTAAATAAATTTGTATTAAGACTTTACTTTTATAATAATTTTACCATAGAAGACGATATTATGTCCTGTTATTAATAATACTTAGATAAAGTAAAATATCATTATGTTTGAAGTTATACTTCTTTAGGCGCGTTATGAAAAATTGATGAGAGTGAAATTTTACGACGCGCGCACACCTGACACGAAATAAACAGAATGAAGTTGCCCACTAACGAATTCTTTTTAAACCAGCCGAGCGTGCGCGAGCGAGATGGGAATAAGACAATCTACAAGTAAAAAGAAATAGAATATGCGTGAAGTTAGTAGCTATGCCAAGAATTTTGAATGACCATAATGACTTTTGTGACCTTTTAAACAAATAAAGGAGTTTTAATTATTTTTTCAAAGAAATTTAGCAATGCTTTTTCACAAAGACCTATTGTTACTTAGAGGTTTACTTAAAAGGTTATGAAACATACCTAGTTATTAAATTAAATGTATAATATAATAAAATGATAATAATAATTGTTATTAATATTAATTAATAATTGAATAATATACTAAATATTAATTATTATTAAATTATTAACGTTAAATATTTATTATTAATTATTTAATATATAAAAAGGGTCCATATTACCCTAAGAAGTTATACTTCTTTCAATATTAAAAATAGTTTGCTTTGTTCCACCTCAGTTTATGTTTCAACATAAGATGAAAATCTTTTTTTAATTTATCAAACTATTCATCAATTGTTTTTTTTTTTCTTATATTTCTAGATAAAATAGAAAAATTAATGTTTTGATTAAACAATGTGGTTAATTTTTAATCAAAACATTATATTTATATACATACATAGTTAACCTCAATTTATTGAAGCATTAGGAAGGTTATGAACAGTTTTTTCACAAATATTAATTAGTATTGGTTTAAATATTCAATTTAAATCACTTTGATTATAATTCAAAAAGCACTAAATTTCTTTGAAAAAATAATTAAAATCCTTTATTTGTTTAAAAGGTAAATGACAAATGTCATTATGGTCATTCAAAATTGTTGGCATACGAACTTCACGCATATTCTATTTCTTTTACTTGTAGATTGTCTTATTCCTATCTCGCCCCCCCCCGCTATAATCACACTCCTATTGTGTCACGGGGGCGGGCCCCCTTTAAAATTTTTAATTTTATAACGCCTAAAAAGTATAACTTCAAAAAATAAAGAAAGCCAAAGAAGTATAACTTCTCACGCGCGTACATAAGTACACGCACCCTTTTTTTAAATAAATACAGTATAAATCTGTTTATGTTATAAGGACATCGAAGGGACTACTCATATTTGCTCGTAAAAACCGATAGTCGTAACAGCCGGGACCTTTGATTTTGGTCAATATAACCGGTACCTTGTTCTAATCGATGTCGTCGTAAACGGTTTTGACGTATGTACATGTATCATATGAACTAAGTTTATACTTTATCCACAATTGGCAAGATCGTTACATTATTATTAAGTGAGCCTTTGTACATGTTATAACAGTTTACAAAATAATGACGTGCAACTTTTGTGGGCCACTCGCGAGAAATAATGATCTTGTTGATCTTGGTGTGATCTACGATCTAAGTGCACCAAGTATTTAACACTAATTCAAAATTGAAAGAGGCTCAACGCTTATTAGTCCTATGAAATCTTTAATTATTATTACGAATTGGAAATTCTTTGTAATCATAGCCATTTTGTTAGCAAAAACTATTGGTAACATATATTATGAATTTTTAAGCTAACACTACCAAAAAACAATTTTTGCCTCTGATACAAGATCCGACCTCTGTAGTAGCGTTCTTACAATAGAAATTTGTTATATGATTAACAGTTTTACATTTTTATTAGTAACACTGCATGCCAATTGGATTATCCATCCAATATACAGAAATCGCGTTATAGGAGTATTCTCGTAAAAACGTATTTTGAACAGTTCAAAAGTTCATAGTTTAATTTTGTAACAACACAATTACAACAGGTGCAAATGTACGCAAAACTAATTATGAACTTGACAAATCATTTTAAATTTCACACTATAGAAATATAACGTCAAGAGAAATCTCCGCGTTATATAGGGGACGGAAATCGTGTTATAGGGGGGATTACTGTACAAGTTTTTATTACATCCTTACCTATAAGCCTCGTGTACGTGATGAGTGCCAACTTGTCCGCTACAGTGCATCTTAGCCAAAGCCTCTGCTAAACGAATCATTGACTCCAGCTGCCGAACTGTGATTCGCCAGGATCCAGCCCCGCCGTCACGCGACCGGAGTACTGTGTAGTACTCCACGAGGATTTTGCCAGCTTCCTGATGATGAAATATTTAAAATGAAATCTAGGTCATTGCCTCAGGAATCTTGATGTTTTTTTTTAATAATGCTGTTAAGTTGAAGCTTCAAAACATTTTTCAGATGTTTTTTTTTATTGCCATAACTAAAAATACAATCATTTTCTGGAGAACCCTACACGTATATAATAACGACTTGTATAAACCACAATTTTGACGAAATAACATTAAAAAAATCATTGATAAGTCAAAACGCGAATTGTTATGGGAACCAATTATGTATACTTAATAGAAACGACTAAGGCCTAATATTTTAAGAATAGTCAAATTTGTACGTAGTACGCACAGTACGTAGTAGTCGGTCATGAGTTCGATTCCCGTTAAATTTGCAATAGAAAACTTAAGCAACAGTTAAATACAGAAATATCTTTTAAAGAAAACACTTTGTAATTGAAACTATGTATTATTATAAACATAATTATTAATTAATATCTCAAGACAAACAATCCGCGAAAATAGAGGACACCGTGAGTCATTTCTGTAAAAACCCTTCATCTTTTAGTCGAAATCAACTCCGGGGAAATAAATACAGATATTACAACTTTTTCTACAGCTATGATACTTTTTGACATTCAACACCTTTTGTCTTCAGTCACCGTGACCGCGCATGCTGTAAAGCACGCGAAACGTCGGGGAAAATTTAAAGTTAGGTAAAATAATTATAATTTTATAATAATACATAACTTCAATCCGTAAAAAAAAGTGTTTTCTTTAAATGTGTAATGGTAGGTTCACACGCGCGCGTTCAACTCTACATTCACATTCACGAGCGTGTAAACGGTACGCCCGAGCCCGTGAACGCGCCTGTGAACGTGAATGCCGCGAATCGGGCAAGTGTCGGTTATAGTGTGAACAGCTTGAATGTCCGCCGGCCCGGGACGGGCTGCACGGCGCGCGTGTGAACGTAGCATAAAAGTTATGTTAATAAAAGACAATACTACAGAAATATCTTACCTCAGTAATCATAGGTTTGAAGGATCTTGCGAAAGCTATGTATCGCAGTAAATCTTCTCTGGAGTAGACACAATCATATGTTTCTTCTTTGTTACAGTGAAGATCGACAATGCGCCTTGCTATCGCGTAGTCTACCTGAAATTTTAAGTATTTTTGTAGTTTCTTAATATACAGTTTTTATATTGTAAATAATCCACTGGATTATTATAGTCTTTCAAGACTAAATTTTATTAAATTTATTTTATTTTAGTCTTGAAAGACTATAATAATCCAGTGGAGTAATACCGCGATATATAGAAGGATGAATCCTTCTCCTATATATCGCGGTATTTCCGCCCTTATAACGCGTATATTTCTCAAGTTATATTTAGTAGTGTAAAATTTATAATAATTAGTCAAGCCCATAATTAGTTTTGCGTACCTTTTTTTGTGTTTTGCACCAGTTTTAATTGTGTTGTTATAAAATTAAACTAAATAAATTTATTAAATTCCTAGTTTTGGAATTGTCCAAAAAACTGTTTCATGGGAATACTCCTACAACGCGGTCCGGGTCCACCGCGTTATAGGGGGGATTAATGTATTTTGAAAATGCCGATTCACCTTTATGAACTAATTGCAGAAATGGCTAAAGCGTTATAATCAGATCGAGATCTATTTCAGGACTTTTTTTACATTCGTGTTAATTTTTGTTATACGAAAAACTTACCATTTCGCTGGTCTCATCAATAAGTATAAAGAAGAGGTCAAATCGGGACATAATAGGTGCGCTGAGGGCGACATTTTGTTGCAAGCTCTTAGCGCGGTCGTATCGTCCTCCAATAGGGTTGGCAGCCGCCAGGATTGACGTACGGGCGTTTAGGGTTGCCCGTACACCTGCCTGTAATTAAGGTAAAATAAGTTAAAATAATAAAACATACTGTTGGCCTAGTGGCCGTAGAATCGAAATCTTTAAATGAAAAATCAATAAACATCGTGAAGAAATCGGCCTTAGACACGAAGTCGACCGCGTGTGTCAGCCATAGAAGACTGATCATGTACTAGGCTATTAGAAAAACCAATGATCACGAAACAGATACAGAAATCTGAAGCCCAGCCCTAAATCAAGTTTTCTTTATAAGATATATACTTTATACTCGTAATAATTGAGAAAAGGCGTACACAGATTAACTTTAAGCTTGGTTTGTTGCAAATCTATCTATCTATTAATATTACATCTGAAGAGTTTGGTTGAACGCGAATTTACAAACCTATTTTTAAAAATTATTTTTACCCGACTTTAAAAAAGGCTGTATGTGATAGGCATATAAATATGAATGTTTGACTTCAGGTATATCTAACAAATTATTAAGTTGGAATATTGTTAGGCAAACTTTTTGGCTAGGTTAGGCTAGTAAGAGAAAAGAAAGTTTCATCAAAATCAGTTTAGTACAGATTGTTACAAATCCATGTGATGATCTATCCATCTTGGGCAGTAATGTTGACGGGTATTTGAAATTAATAGCAATATATTTAAATCACTTTTGTATAATATATATTCAGGAGCCTATATAATATTCAACGCGCAAAGCACGGCAAGTAAATTAATAAAAAAAATAATGTGGGTAGATATTCCAGTATGCAGAAAAAATCCGTCCTGGTGAAATGATAAACTGATATTGAAGGTTGATTTTACCTTAGCAATAGAGATGGTCTGCTGTTCCATGGCTTCGTGGATGGCGACCTGGTCTCCAGGGTCCATCTTGTCGAACTCGTCAATGCAGCACACGCCGTTATCCGCTAACATCAGTGCCCCGGCTTCGATTACGAAGTCAAATGATTCTTCATCCTGTAGTGTTTATACTTTAATTGTAACTAACAGTATGCAGGTCATAAAACCTTAACTAACATACAAAAAAAACGTTAGTTTGCCAGTGCCAAAGAAAACTTTTGTTATAATACATATTGTTTTGTTTTAAGACCTTATATAAACTTATTTAGTTTTATAATGTTAATTATTTTAATAATGTTTTACTATAAAATACTTTTGTGAGATGGCTATTAGCGGTATATTTTGAAAAAATCTTTCTGGCAAATTCTAATTTTTATCAAAGCTAAAACTAACTTTTTTAATTTAATTTTTGAAGTGAAACTTCTTTAGGCGCATGAGGGTAAAATTTTTAAAAACGTCACGAAGATGTGCAGCCGTTTGTCGAAGAAAAGGGAGAGAGCGATTGAGACCGATTGAGAGAGAGCGAGAAGGGCGAATTACCTTAAAGAAATTCTATTTATAAAATTAAAATTTCGTAAAGAACTTTATGAAATATTAGTATTTTATAATTTATTGTAATCTCAAATGACGAATTTTAAATTAAAATGCCACGTGTTTTTACTATCGAAGAAATAAATTAAAAATTAAATTTATAATTTGTATTAATTTTCGACACTTAATATTTTAATGACAATTAAATTCATTAAACTCCTTTTTCCCTCCCTCTAAGTCTCGGAAATCTAAAGTTTTAGATTTGTATAAATATGAACAAGAGTAAAAAATTAATTTGCCAAAAAGTTTCACTTCTGACATGTGTACTTTGTACGCACGCACTTTTTTTTTAAATAAGAATCACATACCTTAACGACAGCCGCAGTAAGACCAGCAGCCGATGAAGCCTTTCCACTTGTATAGACAGCCCTAGGTGCGATCTCGCTCACTTGCTTTAATAACTGAGACTTGGCAGTACTTGGATCGCCTACTATGCACACGTTTATATCGCCTCGGAGGGTAGTTCCTATAATTTTATTAATATTTTACAAACTACCCTATTGTTCCTAAAATTACTACAGTACTCCCAAATTAATAAAGCGCATACAGATCTTCGCCAGTGGTTATATTTCCGGACACACCCGAATCGTTGAATCGTAAGAGCCTTACGGGCGGTCGGCAGCGGTCACCGTGAGTTGTTTTCGATTGTGACACATTGAATTGATATTAACTTCTATCTCTTTCGAACAAGGTGCACAATGCAAGTGCATTGTTAAGGGCTCTTACGATTCAATGATTTGGGTGTTTCCGGGAATACGACCACTGGCAAAGATCTGTATGGCGTATGCGCATTAATAATTTACTGTACTTCATATTAATATGTATGATAAAAAACCTACAGCTAAAGCATTAAGTGTAATATCCTCTATTAAATATACGTATATTATAGCAATCCACATTAAAACAATGTGTTTAATGCTTTGTCAAATTCATGGTAATTGATACTGAGTTTCCCTCAAATAAGTGATCGAATGGTACTTCCACACTTGGTAATACAATATAAAATACCTTCTATTGTAGTCTTAGCAACACCACCAAACAGCATCAGTAAGACACCTCGCTTTACTTCACTATTGCCATGAATACTCGGGAATAGACTTGCAATCAAATTGTTGTATAGATTACGATCTCTTGACATCTCATACACCTGTAATGTGACATAATTTTATCAAAAAAAATAAAATAAAAAATAACTTTTACATAACCAGACTTTTATGCTTGCATTATAGAAACAGCAATAACCTAAGAAGTATTATGACCTCCAGTTTATTTGTCATGTGTGTTAACTACTTACTACAGAGGTATGTGGTGTGATTAATCAACTTAGGACGGCATATTACATACCTTATCCCACTCCTTGTCTGTCATCTGTTTCCTCATATCTTCAGTGGTCAGATCATCAGCAGCTAAATCAGCAGTTCCAAACCTACGAGCAGTAGCTTGTACACTGCATGCGAGAAATGCAGTCCTGAAACAATGTTAGACACACTATATTAATATGGAATAATTTATTAATATTAATATAAAGTAAAAACCTCACTTGTAGTGTAATTCACGAACTCCCAATGCCTGCAATCCTTTAATACCTTCCATTTGCCCTTCATTTGCCAACTTGGTCCGAGTAGTCAGTTCAGCTTTAGCACCAGGCATTGACAAAGAACCCACATCGGGAACAACAATGAGTGTGCCCGTAAAATCATATCTGTCACCAGCCTAAAATAGTCATATAATATAAAAATAAAACACATCAGGGTTATTTAAAAACCATTGTGTAAGTTTTAAAAAATACTTGTTACATACATTTCTCTCCTATACATTCCACTTTTTAATTTAGGAAAATTAAAGTGAAATATTTTTGTTACCTGTACAGATTCTACAGCTTCTGCTCTGAGAATAACTTCAAGTGAACGAGGAATACATCCTCGAGGTAACTCTGCTTGTGTTTCTTGTATTCTTATTTTTTGAAAGTCTACAAATACTGATTTGTCTGCATCCAACATGAATCGTCGACGATTTGCACACACTGGATTACGACATATTGTTGGTATTGTATACTAAAAGATTAAATTATTATAATTATTCCATTTACAATAACTTCATAATTTACATACTTTTAACTTAAATTTTTTAATCAAAATAGGAAAATAGTGGATTTGTACCTTAAATTGTTGTTCAACATTTTTAATAACAGTCTGGCAATCTAAGCATACAAAGGTACCCATAACCAATTCAGGGTGAACAGGGTGAGTTCTCACAATTTGCCCCGATATTCTTATGAGAGTTCCTATTTTAGTTGTAGTCAACTCCCTTACCCTATGCCGTGTTGGAACATCAACAAATGACACATAGCATTCTTTATGTTGCAATTCCTTCTTGATACCAGTTTCTGCTAAACTTAAAACATAATTCAAAATAGCCTGATTTAAAAAGGGATAAATTCTGTAATACTCCTCGATAATTGTAGTGGCAAGGTTCTGGTTATACTTTTCAACATCATCAAAGCTTACTTCTAATGTGCTTAGTTCAGGTTTAAGAAGCTCTTTAGCTTGTTTTTCATATTTTAATTCATTGTCTTCTTTAAAACTGAAACAAAAAACAAATCTTTAAAATAATATTATTTAAGAGAACATAACCCAATTATTTAAAAGCTTGAATTTCTATGGTCTGCTGGGGTGTGTTGAATATTACTTACTCCTCCAAAAAATCTTGAAACAATTTTTGGCAACGAACTCCAACTTCGTCTTTAACTTGACTCTGTGTTGCATATGTATCGGCTACATCCATGCTGATTTTTGTGAGTAATTAATATTAGAAGTTAGTAATCACTGATACGGTGGGTTTGTATAATAAAGACACTTTAAAGTTATTAATTTATTTAGAATAAACTAAGAATAGTTCAACGAAGATCTGTGTTGTTTTAAAAGAAAAAAGTAAACAACGCCAGACTCTTCCTACCGACGTTTACAAGTTGCGGTTAGTACTTAGAAGTTTGACAATTAGGGTTTTGGCGGGAAAACTTTGTTTCACAGACTTGCAATACAGGTAACAGTCTATAGGTAAAAATTATAGCAACCAATACAAAGGTAATTAAGGTACAAATAAATTCTTCCAAGAATTACAATTTAAATAGAGTAAAATAATTTCTTTTGAAAATTGTTGCTTATGGTAGAAAGATTAAACAAGCACTCACGTGACGAGGTATTAAATCTTAATCAAGTAAAAACTTAGTACACAAAATACAAATCATAAAATAACTTTATACAACATCGTCGTCATCTAAGAACAAGATCTGAAGCAAATTGTATTGACATATCCTGAATTGTTAAAAAGGATGTTATGCATAATATATCCATTAGGATAAGGATAATATTAATTTTGTTTGTAATAGTGTTGTTTGATGATTTGATATTTTAAAAGAGTACTTACCGAGAGTTTTTTACGCCAGCTTTTTCTCTCGGCCTACACCCTGTCTTCTTTGCCGATGAGTAGGGATGCCTACAAATTCAAATTTAATGTCGTGGAATAAGCGATACATGTATCTTATGTTCCTTAATAAACTTATTTTATTTATTCGTTTCCCGTAAGCCCATCACAAATTGTTATTTTATCCTATGGAACAAAATAACAATTCAATTATCTGTATATTTGCATTGTACCTATACCTATACCTGCTTATAGCCGCTGAGTCCTTTGCCTTTCCCATTAGGGATAAATTAATATCATCATCATCTATACCGGCTGATCAATGTCTGTACTGTCTGTCTCTCAATTCAATTGCATAAAATGCTGTATTGTTCTACCTCTGACCAATTTATTCTATGTAATCATAATATAATAACTACGTTCCTTTTAGTTTTAATTTATTAATTTCACTTCGTACAATTTATACTATGCATTCTCTCTAATTATCTCCCAGTTTCAATTGTCTAATTGTTCTTTACTTTTATTTTGATTGTACAATAGCATCTTAACTCAATTGTATAAAATAATGTATTGTTTTTGCTTTGGCCAATTTATTCCATGTAACCATATTATAATGATGTTTTCTTTAGTTTTACTTTATTAATTTTATTATGTACAATTTATCCTAAGCATTCTTTCTAAAGATTATACTAGCTTTTAAGAATTCCTCCCCTCTCCACAAAAAAAATAATAATAATAAAAAAAAAATAATAAAAACAAAAAGCAAAAACAAAAAATGAAAAAAAAACAAAAAAAACGAAGGGTTGCACTCCGGGAGTGCCGGCAGAAGTGAAAACTTGAATATTAACGTTGTGCATTTTTGATATTATGGAATGGTTAGGGAATAATTTTGAACGAATTGCTTTAATTATCAGTTTAAAAGTACTATCATTTATGTGGTAGAATATAATATTTATTTATTGCGCTAACGTACACAAATATGAAAATTTATATTACATTAAATACGCCGCGCCAGCTGTCTACTCTCCATCCGTCTTACGAATTTTCGATCAGGTCACGTGTCCTGACGCGAGTTTAACAATTTTTACCCATTTCTAAAAAGTGTACAACGCCGCTAAAGAAGTTTTCACTTCAAAAATAAATACATAATGAAAATAACAGGAGAGGGGATGACGCAAATAATAATAAAGACCTTTATAACGACTCATGTATGAACAAATAAATAAAAGCTATGAGAGAAGGCGTATTCCGAAAGCGCCACTCTCATGGCTTTCCCTGAATAACTTATTTCAAAAAAAAAAAAAATTCTGTACTTCACATTTTAAGTTTATCTGTACGTTCAATGTGCTATGAAAATAATTAAGAGTTGACCTAAAGGTTGTAAATGCCAGGTCATAAAATCCCAAAAAAAAAAAAAAAGTTTGTCTGTACTTACTACTTAATCTGTCGTGTACTCGTGTTTATTAATTGTTGTCGCATGGTTGTATTTTGTAAGATGTTTACAAATGACCAAATATAGAATTGTTGAAACTTGAAAGTGCACTGTTATTTCTTTGATAAACAAATGGCAGAAAATAGACTAGGGTTTCTGTACAAAGCTGCTGCCGTACTGACGCAAACGGAAAATAAAAGTTATGATATCCTCCGAAGCCACTACTTGTAAGTTTTCATTGAAACTAAATACACTTCATCAGGGTTTAAAATAATGTAAACAATTCCTTTTTAGGATGAGATGTCCTGAATTAAGATCTTCAAAACAAATTTCTAGTGGTCGTTTAAGTAAAGAAAGGTGTTCTTATTGCTGTTTGTCATGGAAAAAAGATGCAAAATTAAGGGTACAAATGATGTGCTTTACTTTATAATTTAAAAAGGCAGCAGTGTTTTTTAATAATTAACTTTTCAGGTAAATCCTATAAAATTGTCTAGAAGGCAGAAAAAAAGACTGAAGTCTAAAAAGAACAGTACTCTATATAATTCTAAGCAAGTGGTATGTTTAATAATCGGATCTTTTACTTGGTATTGGTGTTAGGTTTTGTTTCTAGATATAAAAATATTAATTATTAAAGTAACTGGTCATATAATTAGTGCAGATATGTTAGTTTATTTTCTTTTTTTTTACAGGAAAGAATATGTTCTTTGTGTGGCCATATGTCTGTAGTGCATGTCCTCAAATTAAATGATAAAATAGAAACTGATACTTCCATTGTGGTAAAAGACAAAATAATAAAGAAACAATTGAAAAAAAAGGATCCAAAACTGAGACCTTTAAATGTTTATACTAACATTAGAGAAGTGTTTTCAATAAAAAATGAAAACAATAAGATTACACCAGACATAGTTCCAGTAAAAATTAGAAACAATAAAAAGAAAAAAGACAGATTTGCTGGTTTGTGCCAAAAAGCTGTTATGGATGCTACTAAAAGAAAAAATGAAGATGAAAAAAAGAGTACATTAAATTTATTTTTAAAGCCATCATCATCAACATAAAATACATTACTTTTGGACATAACATTATTTTTGACCTTATTGCTTACTAATCACTATAAGATGAATGTCCATAACATTAGTATTTGTATGGCCAGTAATAATGTGTAGTTCACCCTTCCTGAACTTTTTATAAAAATTGTATGAATCATTGTTCGTCAAATATGTTTTAACATCGAGATTTTCTTTTTTTGCATCAGTTACTAAATTGGTATAACCGATTGCCCCAGCTGCATCTGTAGGGCCGTCTATACCATCAGTACCAGCACTTAAAAAATATACTTCATGGTCTGACAAACAATGCTTATTTTCATGTAACAATAATGATAATTCTAATGGTAATTGTTGATTTCTTCCTCCTTTCCCACTCCCTGTAACTTCTACAGTTGTCTCTCCACCCAGAATAAGACAAATATCTCCTTTGAAGTCAACTGTATTTAAGACATTTATGTTATCTAGTATAACTGGCAAATCAAGCTTGCTAACATCTGACTTTAGTGTTTCAAAATCAATGTTTCCATTAAGATAATCACAAAACTGCTTAAGTAGTTTGTAATATTGCTTAGCTAGATCTTTAACATTCCCTGTAATTGTATATGATAATGCTACAGATAAATAATGTAATTTGTTTGCTTGAGAAACTGCAGCATCTATGCTAAATTTATTTGAGCCTATTATATAATTATGTACATTTTTATGAGGAAATGGTCTATTATGTGCTTTATCTTCTAGTGCACTTAAGATAGATGAAGGAAGGTCTTCAAATAAGTGATATTTCTTGATAATATTAATTGCAGCTGTTGGAGAATCCTTATTTTCTACTGTGGGCCCACTGGCTATGAGATCTAAGGGATCACCAACAATATCAGACAAAATTAATGTAACAATTTTAGCTGGTTGTGCTTTTAAAGCCAATTGTCCACCTTTTAAATCTGATGTCGCTTTTCTCACTACATTTAATTCTTTAATGTCTGCACCACAATTTGCCAGTTTCTTAATTAATGTGGTTTTCTGTTCTAAAGTAATTGGGGCTTTTGGCAATGGCAATAAAGCTGATCCACCACCAGAAATCAGGACTATTACAAAGTCATTTATACACATGTTGGAAAGTAAAGATTTTACTTTTATGCTAGTGTTTTCAGCATCCTCATCAGGCAAGTTGTCTTTAGCTCCCTCTATATATTTTAGATTACTTTTAAACTCTAATTTGTTAAAACTGCCTTTAGGTAAACTTATATAGCCATCTCTAATTTTAGAATTTAACATGCTTTCTACCTCAATTGCCATATTTTTCACAGCTTTTCCAGTACCAATTACATAAACGCTTTTGTCCTTTAAATAAAAATTATTTCCAAAAACATTTAATTGTTCTGTAATTGGGTCATATTTTAAATATTTTTTGATAAGAATTTCTGGTAAAACGGCTGTATAGCTAGTTTTATATATTTTTATTAAATTATCTAATGTATATTTTACCATTATTATTGTTTTGATGAAGGCACATTTGTTTGAACAAGGAAGCAGTGTTTTTTGCTTTACTGTTTTAAATTTCACGGAGATGAAAAAATCTAAATTCGACAAATAAAAAATAACTACTTATGTTTAAAAACTTATGCAACTCGGCAAGATTTTTAGGGCGTCAGTGTTTTTATATCTACTTTATCTTATCTGATAAATTGACATTTAACCAAGTAACCGGTAGGTCAATTAAATAAAACGTATGATTATGATTGGTTTTGCTACTTTCATTTTTCTTTAGTAAATTCCACCAAAATGTACCTATGTATACAGCCGAAATTCTAACGGACATACAACAAAAAAACGATTTATCACGGCCTTCAATAGCCTAACCTAACCTATGATCCCACGATACTCATTATACTTCATAAAGTATAATGAGTATCGTGGGATCATCTGTTATTCTGTTCCTTGTGAGGAACTTGTTTTTCAATTGCTCGCAACATTGCAACTTGCAATTAGTGACGAACAGAAGAATCGCCCATACCTAGTGTTGATTTTCGAAATACATATAAAACTTAGACCGTATTAAAAGTTAAGACAAAACATTAGTCTCTCCTTTATTGTATCTACGGTTAACACACCATTATAGTCAATGCAATTGTAATCTGTGATGTATTTTCTAAACATGTTTGAACAAGTCGCCGCAAAATTTAAATGATGAAAAAGAGAATGAAACGGTAAATATCGTAGGGCGTCATCTCGTAATATTTTGTCTTGATACGGTTTAATAATTATGGACATACCTATATGTTTTTCCCAGTATTTTATGAATAAGCAAAATGTTAGATCGTTTCAAAATATATTTAATATTAATTTATTTAAATCGGCCGAAAATGAAGAATATATTCAGAACGTCCTTCAAGATTCGGTAAGTGAAATATCTCAAGGATTGCGTGATGTATTAAATACCTTGAGAATCAATATTTTGAAGTACTGTCAACAAGATTTTAAAGAAGTGTTTGAACCTCCAGGACAAACGAAGACATTGTGTCCTGTTGATAAAGGATATATTTTTAATGGTTGCTCGTCAGGATTGTTTAAAATTATACCGAAAGCGCTCTTTGGAAATAACCATAATTTAAAAATATTTCAAAAGTGTTTGAAAACCATAGTTTACAGTATGAGGAAACAACATTTAATTTTCACAATGCTTATAAAAAAATGGAACTATAATGTGGGACTATGGACTTCTTTCGAATTGAATATTGCGCAGAATATTCTGATATCCGTGTTAGTGTGGGTATTCAAAAATATTTTATCGGCAATTATTTGTCTTAATTTTTATGTAACAACCTGTAAAATAGACGCGGACGAGAATAAACTACATTATTTTTGGAAATATCAATGGCAAAGTTTTTACGATAAAGAAATAAATAAATTGCTAGTTCGACGTGCTATAAGAAAATATGAGCCTTACTGTCTAGGCAAAAAAGTTAAAAAAAGATTAATATCTCAACAATGTCTGGCAATTAAAAACATCAGAAGGGATATACCGAAACTACACTTTATCTTAAAGCCAAATAACGAAGTTAGACCAATCGTTCGATACAAAAATGGGATATTGAGTATTTCGGAAAAATATAAAATCAAAGAAAAATTGTTGTTCCTGAAATTTTTAAGTGGTCAGGGAGGTCGAAAATTAGAAACTCAGTTTTTAACATTGCATTCAGATTGGTTGAAACGAAATAAACCAAAATTATATTTTATTAAAGCTGATTTACGCAATGCTTTTGGATCTATCAATAAGTCGTTACTCAAAAGAATCATTTCGGAGAAGATGGAAGATTTTAAGAAAGAAAATTCTTATTATTTTAAAAAATTCAGTGTGCAATACAAAGAATTGTTGGCTGAACTCCAAAAGCCCATATATGTTCGAGCTGGTTCCACAATTTTTACTTGGCAATCTGGATTAGTCCAAGGCTACGTATATTCACCTGCTTTATCTGAATTGTATTATTCATACTTAGATAAATTATATTTTTCGGAACATCTTGCACAAAGTGAAAATCAACTAAAACTTTTTACTAGAATTGTCGACGACTATCTCTATATTACTGATTGTTTAGATGACGCTTATGCGTTCATAAATGCACTGTCAAATTACAAAAATGTTAACTACAACAAAACTGCAGTTAATTTTGAATACCCAGGTATAAACTATAGTGATGTCATACAATTCGTGGGATACACGTATAATACGCAAAATTTAGTTGTGAACAGAGCGCGTAATATTTATGCTGGTCATATGTGTTATAAAATAACATTCTCCCAATCGATCAGCAATATAAATACGTTTTTAGAGAGCAGAATTGGCCAGACTGGTATCCCAATAAATACTCTTTTATTTAATTTAAATAACATCGACGAGGAGATACTATGGCGCAATATTTTCGTCACATTTTGTATATCCGCGAATAAATTTTGTACAATACTTTCGATATTGTGTGAGGACATGTTAGACTATTTCCCAATTTATAAAAGGCAAGTTAGTGTGAAGCTTTCCAACTCTATAATAAAAGCATTGTCTCGAAATAAACCCAACGATTATATGTTCATGTACTGCATAAATCATTTTCGGTATTTGTCGTATAAAGCCTTATTGCTATGTGCTAAAAAGACACCCAAATGCTGTAACCTTGTAAGCCATATAAACGTGGAATTATCGAAAAGTAATTGTCTATTCGGTAAATGGCGGGACCATGCATCTAGAATAAGTAGAAATGGCGATTCACAGAAACCGGCTATAAAAATTATATGCAGAAGAACAGATTTGAGAAGAATTACGAAGACATTTGAAGATCTGCCAACAGGTTTTGAGTGCTATAAGAATATGTATGAGGTGTGAAATTAAACAACTATTATATAAATGTTTTTATTTGTAAATGGACGGAATACATATGTTTTTAATACTAAATAAGGCTTTTCTGGATGGAATTAATTACACTTAATAATAATAATATAAACTAATGGTAAGATTCTGAGTCGAGATTTACTGTAGGTCAAAATACAATATGTTTTTGACATACAGGAATCGTACTTAGCTAAATAATGAATCTTACCGCAGGTCTACAAAACATAAATATAGAGCATTCGAGTACCCAAATATGAGGATTAGAGAAGTTAATTTAACAAAATACTGCCATGCCAGTTTCTAGTGATGAGACCCAGTAAACCAACCACAATATATTATATTAATGCTAGAAGCACATTCTAATCCTTGGAACTATATGGGCCAGGCATACCTTCAAGTCTTAATATCTAAATGTTACTATTGAGATTCATAAATAACATTAAAATGTTTTAATAATATGCTATTTAAAGACTTCAAATACAATAGCTTAGACTGTTTTAAGGGAAAATCTATTAATTGTTTATACATACAGTATAAACGATTTATCGTGAAGTATACAACGCATCATCTTATATAATGTCAATAAGGGAATGTTTTGAATTTAAAATAAGTCTATAGCTAATCGTCAATACATATAAGGTAGACATCTAACAAAATTGTACGAAATGGTAATACCGGTCACAATTACTAATAAAAATAAAGTTATATAAACAGTAGTGTCGTTTCTAATGTATATAAACTAACAAATTACTTATAATATTCCATCGAGTTAACACTACAGCAGGACTAAAATTATTGTATGTTCATTGAGAAACATTTTCAAAATAGGTTCACTATGTTTCACAGAACAATTATATAGATTAGATTCAATAATTGGTTCGTAAATTGCAATGTGAAAAAAAGTGTTATTAGTAATCTTAATAAAGCATGGATTTATAAAGTTTGTTGTCAATCACGTGACACAAAACGGTCACAGATTAGTCGAACCGACAATGACGTACCTTGCCTGTTAATAATATATCTTAGCCTGTCTAATATGAATACTGTCTTGGAATATAATTTCGTCGGAAATTGTTTTTGATCAAATTAATGTGAATTTGTAAAATTTAAGAATGTAAAAATTTTGATGTTTCGTTACGTGTTTACTGGCATGGAACGTCATGGGGACTGGTGAGATTCCATCTTATCTATAGAAGCGTTTTAGCGGATTATTATTATCACGAACATTTGATTTGAATTTTTAAATATAAATCAGAATTAAAAAAAATATCAAACAGCTTATTCCCTAAGATGTCATAATCATCTAAATATAGCCACAAAGAGCAACATTAACGAAAGTAAATGCCCCAAAATACCATTTCTATAGGCGTGGGAGAGGAAATCCGGGTCCGATGCTATGTAGTAGGAGGCTTGCGGCGCGTCACATGACACAATACGTGCGGCGCGCGGTAACGAAGTACCGGCGATCATTTCAGCCGAACGTTTGTTGTGTTGAAGGGGCTTTAGACGGACCGCCGCGTCGCTAAAGATCAGGTCAGCGTATGGCGGCTTCGAATAGAACATGCTGAAGCTGAAAATTCATCCATAAATTATATTAAATTTGCTTCCTCGGAACTATTCGACACAAAGGAATTTTTCAATATTACTTCGTCAATATTCAGTATATGTTATTTTTTAAATAAATAATTTAATAAGGGGATTAATGTCAAAAAGGATTTAAATTGCTATTTAAATCCTTTGTTAAAACATAAATTTTGACAGGTATATTAAAATAATTCCACGTAAAACGACCTTTGTAAGAAATAGAGGCTATTCATAAAAATGAAGTGCTCTTCAACCATGGCTTTATATATAATTTATATGTGTAAAGAAATGTATTCTCCTTACATATTTTTTAGCTGTAAAGTGCGTGACAGGTACTTTTCTAATTATTCATTTCCATTTCATAATATATTTTATATAATCTCATTCGGTAATATTCTAATTATGAAGTGAAATACAGACTTTTATTGGCATATTTTACTTACATACTTCTTTAAGAAAATTAAAAAGTTAAATTAAAGCATTATTCTCCTAACAAAACAATGCTTTAAAATAATTTTTTAATTATTAAAGTACAATGTTTCCCGACCAAGTAGGTTTCAATTCAATTTAAGTATACATAATCTGTGGTGAGCGCGCAACGCGCTGGTCCCGAGCCAATAGACCAATAACAAACTTTTTCCATTTTGGCGCTATTTCGTACATACGAATTTGAGTAATATTTTGTTGGATAAAACTTTAGTAGCAAGCAACACCGACGATACCGATGAAAATTGACATGTTAGAAACAGCTACGAAACTGACGAATAGTCTTTTCCAGACTTTATGACTTGGAAACCATGAGATTAAATAAAGTAGTGTATGCAACTGCATATAATTAAGTATTAAAACACTCGTGTAATCTTATTTGGCACTACACTCATGTTTTATTAGCCTCTATTATATGGCAGTTGCATAAACTACTATTTAAAAGCATTATTGTTATTCTTTTTAATTAACAGAAACGCAATTATTTTTTTACTTATAAAAATAGTACATACATTTACGAACGGAAACGTTTAACAGCAATTTAGACGTCATTAGAGCAGTTAATAAAACATAGTCTCACCTGAAATCATCATTGACAGTAGCTCCATACAGTTGCAGGGCGTACAGCATGAGATTGGAGAATGTGTCCAACTCGGTGTGGTTCGCCCGTCCCATCATCACCGAACCCGGGACTTTGCCCAGATTGCAATGTTTATATTCGTGAATTTTTGCTCGGGTACCTGTACATATATTTTAGTTATATAAGAATTAATAATAAGTAAAATAGAGTTATTGTAATAAAATAGTAATAATAATAATAATGTTTATTTGCCTTGTCCTTATATAGTATATATTTATATTGGCAAAGACACATATATTTTAGAGGCTTGTGGCTATAAAATAGAAGTCCTGTCAGCTCACCAGCCTTCCATCGAGGGTAGAAAATGTTCAGCATTAGCGTACATGCATTGAATGGAAAATTTAGAAGCGCTTTGTGGGCGTATTTGGAACTAAACGAACACGGGATCGTGAAAAGACACGAATATTTATCGTATTGACGTAAAACTTAAGGAATTTAACGTAAAGTTCAGAGCCTCAGATACTTTTGGTTTATTTTAACTCATTATATTTCTAATTACCGTTGTTTTCATTTAGTATTACTGATTAAGGCTTTGTTCTAGTGAAGGTAGGTGTGTGCTCTTACTTTGAAAATTAGTATTTTTCTTACCATGTGCAATGTTGGGTTAATATATTAGTTCCCATATTGGGCAATTTAGAGGGTCTTCAATGATGGTACTAAATCTTTGAACTAATAAGGCTAATCTCCTTATCTTCCAACTTGAAAAATTATTATTTCGACGAGAATCGAATTCATGACGCTATTAACGACTAAGCCACGGCTGATCATACATACCATCTGGACACATGAGCTGCAAATCATCTCCCAGTAGGTCACGCGCCCACCACTCCCGACGTCGCCCACCCGTGACCTCAGCAGGTGCCGTGTGCCTTACAAAGGCTACATCTCCACCCCCCTCTACCATGCAACGCAGGGCACCCACGTGACCGAAGTACTCCTCGCTTGCGTCGCGTCTGCAGCGACTGGAAGTTATTGGTTGGAGATATTTCATAGATTGCCCATGGTATACACAGAAATTGTAGTTTTTTATTGAAAACAGCACGTTATTCAGTTAATAAGTAATCAGTGAAAAAAAGCTTTACTACCGAAAAGAATCGCATTCCATTTTTATTTATTGCTAGAAGCAAAGTTTCTATAGTCTATGGCAAATATTTTAGTTAAGGATCTGTGGATAGAGAACAGAAACGTTGGACTTGCGGTAGCAGAAGCGCTAAATTACCTTTTTATGTTGACAACTCATGTTACATGATTATAGTTCGAGGGTAATCATTATACTTTATATGAAAAATTATAATACAAAAATATTTTTTGTTAATACATAATACATAGCAAACAAGAATAATGTAACTTCCATATGTGCCACGCCAGCTCTTTCAACACAGACTCCATGGTCCGTATTCTAAAACGTCAACCAATCAAACTTAAATCGTCTTAGGAGCTGTCAAACCACTTTCTGTATGAAGTTGGACATATTTGACAGAGGTCAAGACGAGTGACTTGCGATACAAATTAGTATTGATATAAAAAATTCTGACACACTAAACTAATAGTAGTTTATGCAACTGTCATATAATAGAGGGTATTAAAAAATGAGTATTTTTTTTCAAAATAAGATTACATGAGTGTTTTAATACCTAATTATATGCATTTGCATACACTACTTTATTTAATCTCATGGCTATAGGTAGCTACATTAAATAAAATGCAAGTCTGTTATTGGTCTATTGGCATATTTTATTTACATACTGGCATACTCGGAACCAGCTCGTGCACCACAGACAATGTTTACTTAAATTGAATTGAAACCTCCTTGGTCAGGACACATTGTACTTTAATAATTAAAAAATCGTTGTAAAGCATTGTTTTGTCAGGAGAATAACGTTTTAATTAAATTTTCTTAAAGAAGTACGTAAATAAAATATGCCAATAAAAGTCAGTATTTCATTTCATAATTAGAATATTACCGAATGAGATTAATTAATAAAAAATATTGAATTACCGATATGACGCTCCATGGCATAGATGGCATAGGTTGTCATGAGGCACAGTGCCCGAGTCCACATATTCACTGCTGAGTGCGCCGGGTGTGCATGACTTACTGAAGTACTGCGCCGCTGCGTGTGCGCCGTCACAGCCATACGGTCTGAAAGAAAAAGTTTTACACGTTTGAAAAAGATCACTTAAATAACAAAAATATCACATAAGTTAAACTTACTAATTTTCCTGAAAAACATTAAATAGATTTACATTTGATATTATTTTATTTATGATATTATATGATTTATGACCGGAAGGCTCGGACCGGGAGGCTCGATTTCCGGTTCCAGCTGATCTACACAAAACTTATAATACAGAAAAAAAAAGAAATAATACATGTTTACTTAAAATCACTTATATAATTACCTAATCCACCCATTCGATATTAGATAGGCCAAAGGATAAATCCAGCCAGCTGCCGTACCGATACCCGTGTGACAGGTGTTCTTGCCTCTCAAATAAGTTAAATCTGTATCTGGATCTTGCTCTTTGCCGACAGCTACTGCGTAATACCAGCTGTCTCCGCTCGAGTAGACCTGGATGTGTTTAATATGAGATTTATTTAAAAGTTTCATGTTCATATTAATTCAAAATCGTTTTAAACAAATTATTTATTTATTCACATTCTTTGCACATATAACAATAAGCACAAAAATTCGGATATATAGCCGAACGCAATTGGCTGCCTTATCGCCTATAAGCAATCTCACACAGAGAAGTGCAAACCTATAAAAATTCTCTGACGTTTACGAAATCGACTTTTGAGCACTGTCAAAGAAGTTATATTTTTAGATAAACATAATTTTCACAGACCATTAAGATTAGATTCCAATTTGTTATGTTATAGATACAGAATACTGTTCTCATTGTCTTTTTTAGATATTATTCCTACAGGATTTCCATTAGTATTGATGTTAATCCTTATATTCAGTCTTCTGTGAATGATTCTTCTTTAAATACCTTATTATCAGGTTTCGAAGTTTGGATTAAATTATTTACATAATTTTTGAAGTGAATTAAAACTCTTACCTCTTGCATAAACGGCACCAGTCGATACTTGTAAGCGGCGTGCAACATATCGGCGGCGTCAAAGACCGCCATGTCAGCTGTTCCGTCAGCGATTGCCCGCTCGCAGTGCCGGGAACTATGCCCTCGCCAACATATAAGCGTCGGAGATAGGAAGGCGGCTTTTAACGCTATCTGTGGGATATGATCTTCAGTGAATACATATTTACATGATTTCTGAAATTACCGATTGTACCTTTACTATTAATTTGACAATATTTAAAAGGTGTAAATTTTTTTCGCTCAAATATTAAATATTACGGCCGTTATTAAGAAATAAAAAACATTTATTTTATGAAAGAAGACACAAATACTTTAATCAAAAATGGGCCGAACTAAGCTATAAGTTGCTGTAACCAATAGGTACCGATTTTCTATGGGCGGTGGGCCCATATTATCTTTGTTGTTTTTAATATTTTGTTTAAACATGGGAGCAGTACAGCGTTGCCCTAGAAGTTAAAGCGGCCAAAAGGCGGAAGAAACCAGCCTAAGACCCAAAAGTCGACGGCGTGGGTCGGTCACAGAAGATTACCTACTTGCCTATTAAAAAAATGATCACAAAACAAAAACAGAAATCTGAGGCCCAGACCTAAAAAGTTGTAGCACCATTGTTGTTTTTACAGTAGTAAAGAAAAGTATTGAATTACTGTATCTTCATCCTTAGGTTATTTTTGAAGTAAGAAAAAAGTTTGCTTTGCAAATAATTATTTAAATCTATTTTTTAAATGGTGGATTTGTAAGACTTATTTATGTGCTCCATATTTCTGGACTAAACAATAAAACCTTACCCTCATTTTAATACATTTGTCGTATTCAGCATCACTCGTGACACAAAGCGTGGCGCGTTTGACTGGACAGTCCCTTATACCAATGACGGCCTTCTCCGCCTGATCACCTACATATTTGTTATTTAAAATATGGTGAGCCGCTTGCTCCTCTTCATCCAATATTCGGAAGTTAATTGTGGAGTCCTAAGAAAAGGAATAAATTTATTAAGACTTATACAATTTCCGACTTAAAAAAAATTAAGTAACGTAAAAAATTAAATAGGTAAGAAACAAAAATGCCTACCTAAATTTTATATATTATTATTAACTTCAATAAATTTTAAGAAATTTAAAAGTAAAAATAATATAATTTTGTTTGTTCTATATAATCAAGAATAATATTGTCTTTAGTATAACTTACTTGCAAAAGGAGGTCTGTAGTGCCTTCAGATTGAAACAGTTTAAATGGCAATTCAATGGGTTGACCGAAGTTGTCAACCCTCGGTTTGTATGGAGACATCGTAGTACTGAAATAGAATACAAAATTACAACTTGACAGTGTCAAGAAACAAAAAAAACTGTGTTTAAAAAACTGTAAGGGTTATTTTAATGCGACTTTTTTTTATTCTTTCAGACTAATTCATAAACATTATTGCTCCTTTATTTTGATTAAATAATACTCATTAGGCATAAAAGAACAATGAAATGTTGCTCTAATAAACTACCTTTCAACCTCCTCTATATAAATGACAGTAAAATAATTGTAATCTAGCCTTATATCTAGAATATTCAAAGACAATAGAACATTAGACATCTGACACATACAACATTTTAGTATCTTATTGACGTTCGATTTTTAAATATATGTATTACATTAATTTAATCAGAGGGGTAATTTTATAGTAATTATTGTGGCTTGGTTATGGCACATTTAGGAATAACTACTTAATACTAATTGTGGTTTAGTATCAACTCCAGCGTAAATCTATTCTATGGTTATATTATCTTAAGCTTTTAAAGAAAACATTAAAATTTAATGAAAACGTACCTTCCTTCGTCATTTCGGTCATTACGATCAAATTGATTTCGTCTAAACCCATCATACCGGTTTTGTTCTGTAGTAGACGACAGCCAGTTTCCAAAGGCGTCCTGTTCATATACATATAAGTAAGTTCATTTATTACATTAAAACTATGTAACTAGGAAATTAGATAATGTTAATAAAAATGGCGACTAAATAATGTTATAAGTTTTATTTAATGAATAAGTTTTTAAGAACCTTTAAAAAACTATGGAGTTATAAGCAAGCTTTTTTAGACTTTTACAAATTTTAAAATCACCACATAAATAATTGCTTTTGTAAATACAGAGCAAGCTTTATTTTAAATTAAGTAATTTAAAATAAAAAATCACCTGTTGGTATGCATCTGTCCGATTTGACATCTTATTCATTGTATTCGGTTCACCATAAAGCTCAACTATCTTCATTATCAGTTTTTGGTATCTGTAATGAAACATGTTTTATTCATATAGAAAAAAGTTTTTTTTTCATAGTAAAACAGAATTTCTTTAAATAATTGCTTGTTTATACTAAGGTGGTGTGTCTTCGAACTATACTCTAGTATTAGAATTACACTGAAATGAAAAAGAAATTTGTGGGACTCAAGAAAAATCACAAATTCCGTTATTTTAGAAAATGTATGTATGTGAATATATTAAACATAAAAATGCACACACAACTTGTGTAAATATAGTTTATCAACAGACATCATATAATATTTAATATGGCAATTTATGTGTAATTAATACTACGCGAAGTCACTGTGGGAATGAAATCGTGCGGTAGCTAGTACAAGATATAACTAACTTGCTTCTCAGGGCTGGGGTGGCAACACTGGAAGTGAGCACAGCATCAGCCGGTACTCGGCCCCAGTTACACCTTTCCCAGTTAGTGACTGGAGCACGAGAACCATCGCGACATATCAACTCGAAGTCGGCCTCTGTCACTCCACCTGCAAACCAAGTTAAGTTAATATATTTTATGGAAGGTTCTCTGAATCTCGAAATAAAAAAAAAACTATTTAAACGATGGACGCATCTAACATTTCTCTATCAAGAGATAACCTAATATAAATGTTTGTTCTTTTTTCTATTGTGTTCTGCGGTTTTGAATGTTTTTTAAATATGATTATTCAATCGTTGGGCGGGTAAAGCACCAGCTCATCTAATAACTATAGCAATACAGAGAGGAAATGCTGCCAATTAAGGGTACACTACACTGCCACTGGGACCAAAATTTTAAATTTGTTTTAATTTTCTATTTATCAATATTTAATTGTTATTACTATGTAGTTTAAGAATATTGTTAATACTTTATATTTGTATGTTGATAAAAAAAAATATAAACTGTATAAATAAAGAAATTTTTTTTCCCAAAAATCCCCAATCACTTTTTTTTTACAGACAATAAAATATTTAAAAGAACAGACTAAGAAATCATATACACCATAGAGGTGTAATTCGATAGTCCTCTGTTTGATTTTCGGAAATAATAGTTTTGTGTTAGTAGGCACAGATATTAACCTAAAGAGTTTCTTCTTTCTTGACTAGAAAACACACATAGAAATCAGAGGAATATGGAACTATGATTACTGATATATTTATATTTTAATATTAATTAACTATTTTTTTACTACAGATTATATTTCAAAATAATTATAATCATCACCATCAATGAATTACCTAATATTTTATGTGAGAGTAAGGCATGTTGTATTGTACTGTCCCTCACAAAGGCAATTTCCCCTGTTCCATTATTGACAAGGCATCTAAGTGCTCCCTCATACCCTGCATAAGGGTCGGCCAGGGTACAACGCACTCCAGCTCCACCTGTGCATAGTTTACATAACCTGCAAATAGTAACATTCAGAGTATAGTACTTACAACTCATACATTTATAATTATTATATGTAGTATGATATATGTATACATTTCTCAACATATCTGGACTAGATACTATTTCAGCATCCTTTTTGCTCATAAACATCATTAATGCATTGTATGTATTGTAATAATGCATTTACTTAAGATTTTGGGATAAGTGAATCACTTACTGATCAGGATTGTCTCCAATTGGATTATACAAATCCTTCAATGAATTTGGTGCACATGAATCACTGAAGTATTCCACCGCTGACTTAACATGGTTATTACAGTCAGTTATCTTGAGGCCACCTTCTTTGATAAGCTGAAATGTATGTATTTTTTGTAATTAATCAGAAATGAGCTTTACAAAGTTAATAATTATGGCGATATATATAACACAAATCACCGAACCACAAAGTTTGCAAAAGTTTCTTACCACATGTATCGGCATGACCCATCCAGCAAGTGACCCAACACCTGGGAAGCAGGCCTTTACCCCCCGTAGTCCATACAAACCTCCACTAGGTTGCACTTGGGGCAAACTGCCTTTCCTTACAACAGCCACTGCGTATTGATAGGGTTCTCCACCACCATAAACCTAAAATAAAAATTATTTTGTGAATATTGTAAAGCATTTTTAACTATGTTTGAAAAAACATGTGGCTATGGAAAGAAGATAATAATATTACTATAAAAATAGCTTAATCCGTTAATGTATTTACTGTGAAAACATCAATAAATACCTCTTGGAGTAATGGTACAAGTGAGTGATATCTTCCAGCCACATATACTTCACCAGCATCAAGAGCTAGTAATGATGCATCTCCTTGATCAACCCATGTCATACATTCTTCTGCATCAAATGCCTAGAAAGCATAATGTTTTTATTTCATTTGAAAACTACAAATTTAAAGTCTTATTTACTTAGTATCAAAAGAAACAATACTGGAATTTGACAAATATCAAAGAATACTATTAGTTAAATCAATAACAAGTTGAAAATCGAATAATGGTCAATTAAATTAACAAATATAAAAGAGTAAAACAAGCGAATTTAAAATCAGTAAGAATTAAATTCCAAGCAAATTTCAAACTTATAGTCTTACCCGTTTACATTCTATTTCAATGAAATCCTTTCCAAAAAGTCCTTTATCCTGAAGCACAGTTTTCGATAGTTTTTCACATTTTTTCTGTTCTGGTATAGAAGTAGTGCACCAGGTTACTTTGTCTTTGCCTTCAATTTTTGGTTCTCCGTGGATACCATTAGCTATACTCTCGCTACCGTAGTAGCTTCCTTGAACGGTAACTGAAAAAAATATTAAGTATATAAAAATTTTAAGTTAACAAAAATAAAAACATGAAATGTAGTAGCATTACACTGAAGGTTTGAAAGTTTTTGAGAAAGAAACTTGCGTACCTAGCGAGCAAAATAATAAAACTATTTCCAGCATATTTCTTTTCCTCAAATTATCATGTTTTTAAATATAGAAATAAAACTATTTAATTCATTGGACACACCCGAAAACGATCCGCTTAACTGAAATCAACAACACAGATCAAGTAGAAGTAAGCACTAAGCAGCAACTACAGCCTACAGGCCACAGCCCACAGGGCACAGTCTATACCTATGGTGTATACTGTACACTGTACGGACCAAAGTCCAATTCATTAGTAATATCTCCGGGCCCTGATTTATTGATGATCCTGTCATAGAAATACAACGACGAAATTTAAAACAGGTTTAAAATTTGAAAGAACCATATTAAAGCTATGTTTTGTGATGATTTTTTAAATTCTAGTTTACAGATTAAATTTTCTATGATAGAACTGCTGACAATAGCATGTCGTGTAGGTACTAGTCTTATGTCTGTGGTTCTACACACTTGACACTGGTCCACACTAATTATCTTGTCCTTGTTTTCGAGAAAAATATTGTGTGAAAATTTAAAAACAAAGTCAACTTGTAAGTTATAATATATCATATGTTTAATTAATTTGATGTTAAATAGATTTTAATTGATCCTAGTTTCTTTTAATGATGAATGTCATGATTGTAATTTTCAGGAACCTTTACAAATCACATTAAAATATGGTTGTATTTACATGTGGCCACTGTGGAGAATCTGTGCAGAAACCTAAAGTTGAAAAGCATTATCTTACAAAATGTAGAAATAGAAATCCAAATTTATCTTGCATGGATTGTTTTAAAGATTTTCTGTAAGTATTTTTGAAGAATTTGTATTTGTTGAGGCTGTGGGGTTATTCTGGGTCATTCAAAGAAAAAACATTGAAACTTGTAACTGTTATGCATTTGTGATACTCCTAAGATGTACACAACATACAACACAAAATTGCCATAAAATTTACAATAGGCAACATAAAATTGCCATAATATTTGGTAATAGAATTATTATTTTTTTGAAATATTGTAATTTTAATTTTACAGCGGTAATGATTATGAGTCTCACATTAAATGTATTACTGAAGAACAACGTTATTCAGCTAAAGGATTTCAAGCTAAAGAAAAAAAGGGAGAGAAGAAGCAAAATGCTTGGGTTGAAATGTTGCAGTCTGTACTAGATGAACAGAAAAATGCATCTAAAAATGTCTTAAGAATCATTGAAACAATCAGTAAACATAATAACACACCTAGGAAGAAGCCAAAATTCATCAACTTTGTTAAAAATGTTTGTGGTAACAAAACAAATCCTAAAGACATTGATGCAGCATGGGATCTGATTTCAGTAAAACTTACGGCTCTATCTATTGCTAACCAAGAGAATAGAAATCAAAATAAGGATGAAAAATCAAGTTCAGATACAAAAGAAATTAATTCTGAAATAAATGGTACAACAAATCATAATGATATTAGTCCATCACAGGAAAACACTAATAATCATGAAGAACCTGTGGAACCAGTTAATGGTCAGCCCAAAGAAGAAATTAAACTATCGAAGAAGCAGAAAAAAGAAGAGAAAAAACGCAGAAAATATGAAGCTGAATTATTGAGTGCTGAAACACCATCTACTGAAGTTATAGAAGAAGTTGAATCTAAGAAAAAAGGTAAAAAAGGTAAAAATAAAGAAAATATCAATGATGATGATATTACAAACGAGGCTAAAAACAAGAAAAAACGTAAACGCCAAGACACAATACCAACAATTGAAGTGGTGGAAAATGGTGTTGTTAACAAGGAGAGTAAGAAGAAATTAAAGACAGATGAAGAGGAAGACGAAAGCATTTGTTTACATGATCAGAATGTAGCCAAAAGTGAAGAAGTTGAAGAGAAAAAAGACAAATTTAACTGGCATGACGTCATAATGTCGGTGTTAAAAAAGAAAGACAATGAAATGCAATTCAAACGTCTTCAAAAGAAGGTGCTTGGAGAATATTCCGAATTCTTTGGATGTGAGGTTGATGATAGAATTGCTGATAAATTCATTAAGAAATTAAAGAGTGCTCCAAACGTAAGAGTTGACAAAAATAGAGTTACGTTGATTGAGGAGTAAAAATTATTGTAAATATTTCCTCTGCCAAAGTTGAGATAAATAGGGTAATTATATGAATATCCCAAATACAATATCCTCTTATTGATAGGATATACACTGCCACAACTTTAATCTCTGATATATTATCTTGGATTCAAATGGTTTCAGGATTATGCACCAGGATCTTTTCATCTGAAAGTCCACTTTTTTCCCATAGCTCCTATAAATGATCTATTCATTAAATATATTTATAGTGTTCATTATTACAGATCCTAAAAACCATGAATGTACTATGAATTTTTTCTTACAAATGCCTATGTAAAACATTGAATTAAATTAAAATTAAATATAAATGAGTTCTTTTACTATACAATAATTATTGAAGTATGGATATTTCTTTTCAACCTATTGTTAATATTATATAAAATGCTTTAATGTCATTTTATTTAAAACCACACCACACACTTAAGAAGATAAAGAAAAAAGTACTATTTTTTTTTTTTTTTTTGTGTTCTTGTTCATCTGCAATCGGCTATCAGCCATAATCAGATATTTTCTGAGGTTAATTTTGGTTGGGTGCGATTCCATTGAAAGGCACCGTAAGTGTTGGTAGAAACTGGATTTTTATTGTAGGTCAGTTTCTCTGTCTAGGTCTAGTATTTGCCATCTTTTAGGCGAGTTACATCATCTCCTGGGGTTAGCAGATTCTTAGCCAGCTCATTTGTATGTTTGGTTAACCTTTCCCTGTATCTACTACTGTTTTTGCGGATTACTTCCTTTACGGTTGGCATCTCCAGATATTCGTGTATTTCCGTGTTTCTCACAAACCAGTGTGCACATGAAATAGTTCTCAGTGCAATGTTTTGAAATCTTTGGAGGATTTCTGATGTTAGAATTGCTTGCACAGCCCCAGAGTTCTATTCCATATGTCCACACTGGTTGTATGATGGCCTTGTACACAAGCAATTTGTTACTCAGGGTCAGCCTAGATTGCTGGCCTAGAAGCCATGATAGCTCTTTGAATTTCAAGGTGGCTTCTGTTTTCTTGGCTTTTATATGATTAGCCCAGGTCAGTCTTCTGTCCAGATGTAGTCCGAGATATTTCACGCTGTTTTTGCTTGGTAACGGTTTGTCTTCTATATGCACAGGTGGACAGTCGCCCTTTCGCAGTGTAAATGTTACTTGTATTGATTTAGTTATGCTAGGCTTGATTCTCCACCTCTGCAGTCACACGTTCACCTTATTGAGCTGTTCCTGTAGTTTCAGTGAAGCGTTATTCGCGTTCACATCGCTTGCAAGGCATGCAGTGTCATCTGCGTATGTTGCTGTTACGACATTTTCTGTTTCAGGCAAGTCTGCCGTATGTATTGAATAAAGGACTGGGCCAAGCACTGATCCTTGTGGAACTGAGGCAGTGATGTAATAGAGCCTTGAAAGTTCCTCCTCATACTTTACTTGGAATCTTCTTTGATCTAGATAAGATTTTAGGATCATATAGAATGAGTTTGGTAGGAGGGTTTTCAGCTTGTACAACAATCCTTTGTGCCAAACTCTATCGAATGCCTGCTGAATATCTATGAATACTGCTGAACAATATTCTTTTTTCTCTAGCGATTGTCTTATTTTGTTAACCACTCGGTGTACTTGTTCTACAGTAGCATGTTTTTCCCGGAAACCAAATTGGTGATCGGGTATAATTCTGTTTTGGTCCAGGACTGGTTTTAGTCTCCGCAGAAGAGTTTTTCAAAAAACCTTAGATATTGTTGGGAGAAGACTTATAGGCCTGTATGAGCTAGGTTCTGTTGGGGGTTTCCCTGGCTTTACAATCATAATTATTTGTGATATCTTCCATAGCTTTGGGTAGTACTGTATTCTAAAAATGGCATTGAATAACATTGTTAAAAGTACTATTGCTTTTCTAGGTAGTTTTTTAAGGATTTCACCCGTTATTAGGTCGAAACCAGGAGCCTTTTTGTTTTCCAGATAGCTTATTGTGCGCATTAATTCTTGTGGAGTGACAAGTTTTAGCGGTAGTGATAACTGCTGGTCACTGTTGATCATTCTATCCACTTCCTCTTCAAACTCAGTCATGGATGATTGGTTTGGTTTGAAGACTTCGCTTAGGTGTCTAGCGAAAAGTTCAGCTTTTTCACTGCCGCTCCTAGCCCACGGATCGTTCGTAGATATCCTTATAGGTGGTATATGGTTATGTGGTCTTTTAAAGTTCTTAGTTATTTTCCAGAGTGAGTAATTATCCTTCTTATGAGCCGAGAGTGTACAGAGTTTTTCTTGGAAGGTTGTGTTTTGATTTTCTTTAATTAACTCTTTTTAGTTCTCTAGATATTCTATTGAATTCCGACCTGTCTACATCTGATCTGCTGGTGTGTAATCGCCTTCTTTGTCTTCGTTTTTCTTCCAGTTTGTTGCGTATTTCCAGTGGTATGTTACCTAATTGATTGGAAGAGCTCAGTGTCGGGGTGGCACGCCACGCAGCTACTTGTATGAGATTCGTGATGTAGAATGTTGTCTCATCTATATCTTCTTCTGTTTTGAGCCTAACCTTTAGTTCAACTTCATCTTCTAAGTATTCAGCAAATGCGTCCCAGTCTGTTTTATGATTATATAGCGCCAGTCTCTGTGCTCTATGTATAGCGGAAACGCTAAATGTTGCTATGATAGGGGTGTGGTCAGACCCACCATCAGACGATGATGCCACGTCAAAATACACATAAGACAGTCCCTTCACCACAAAAAGTCCACTAGGTCGGGTATTCTGTTGACATCTGTTGGCCAATAAGTTGGTTTACCTGTTCCCAGTGTAATAAGTTTGTGTTTATCGACACATTTTTTCAACTCACGTCCTTTGCTGTTTGTCAATCTTGATCCCCAATGAGTGTGTTTACAGTTCCAGTCCCCACCACTTATGTATCTGTTTCCCAAGCTTTTAAAATAGCGGTCAAACATGTGTTGTTTCTGGTTTATGCTTTGGTGGACAATATACAGCGCTTACATTGATGGGGCCCATGCTTGCATTTATAGTGATGGTAGTGGCTTGCATCCAGTCTTCCCGAAACTCGCTATGGAGGTGGTGTCCGATGTTACTCTTTACAATTACTGCTGATCCTCCGTGTGATGTGGTATCGGGATGGTTAGTATAATATACGTCATAGTTGTCTATCTTAATATTCTTACGGTCATTTAGGTGGGTTTCAGATATTAAACCAATGTCGATTTTGTTATGTTTTAACATTATTTCTAATTCTTTTTTTATTTGGCGTTAGGCCATTGATATTCCAGGTAGCGATACGTAACGACATCATTGTGGAAGCCTACTGATGATTGTCATGATGAGGTTCATCATTGTGCTCAGTTGTGAAATGAGTTGATCGATTCTTTCAGTCTGTTTCACTATAAGTGCTTCTAGACTGAATCTATTTTCTTGCCCGAGTTCTATTTTTCTCAGGTATGTTCTTTGTGACTCATGGTCAACGTGGTTTTCTGTATTTGTTCTCTGTGAATCTATATGGTCAACTTTGTCTTTCCTGTGTATCTGTCGTTCCGTTTGGTCAGTGTTATCTCTCGTGTATGATTTTTTGTGTCTCTGTATGGTATGCTACAGATTTGGTTGAATTTTGGGAGCTTCACTATAGGGTCCCAGGGATTCTTTACGCTTGGTAGCCGATGTTTCAGTTGGGTAGTCTTGGAGTGATTATCAGGCTCAATGACTATCACATCCATGTCATTAGGGGGCTCATTATTTTCAGAGTTCTTAGTCCGCACTTCCAGAGTGGTTCTTGATTTTAGATATGGCTGAACCTTGTTTCCAATTTTCTTTCTTGCTAGGACTTCCCTATACACCTGGCATCCTTTGTAGCTAGCAGGGTGGCTTCCCTGAGCATAGTCGCATACTGCTGGAGTCTATCATTTATTGTGCACGTAGTAGTTTTATGTGCCCCAGCACACTTTACGCATCTGTAAGGCCTCATACAGTTATTTTTGCTGTGCCCATATTGTTGGCACCTTTTGCATTGTACCACTGTCATTTTTCTTATTGGGTCTTCTATCGTGACTTTCTGGTTGTATATGACTTTAATTTCTTTGACAAATTTATTATTTTTCATGTGGAGCCACATTGACAAAAAATGTATTTAGTGGCTCTTTGGTTCCTTGTTTCCGGGCAGTAACTATTTCTCCTTGTACTTTGTTTCCAGTTTTTTCTACTGCTTCTATAATGGCATCTTTAGGTGTGCTGGAAGTGAAGATGTTTAATAACAATCCTCATGCATTTTTGGTCTTTGCGTGTAAATGTGTGACCTATAAGCCCTTTACTTCTTATGTGCTCGATCAGAATCTTATATTTGTCAACCGTGTTAGACGAGATTATTAGCTGGTTTTTGGATACGATTTTATAGGTGTAATCATTCCTTTCAATAACTTCTTCGATGAGTTGGGTGAGTTTTTCAAGGTCATCAACACCATACAAAATTATTGGTGGTGGTTTAGGTGTTCTCTTGGCTGTAGCTTCTCCTAGTTCCACGTCTAACAAAGCAAAGCTGTTGTTTGTCTCTATATTCGATGAGGTATTTTGTTCAGGAGTATTTATTCCTCGGCGTTTGTTAATGATTGCCCTCCCGTCGCTGTGTCTTTTTTGGCGTGATGACTCCTTGAGTCTTTTTCTTCGGGAGACCGATTTCTTTTTTGATTTGGTACTCGTTGCCAGGGCACACTAGGTTTGTATGAATTTTGTTCCTGTGTAGGTGCCTGTTTAACAGGTATCATATGTTCTTGTTGGACTTGGGAGACATCACTGAGTGAAGATGAACGAGTTCTATTAAAAAAGTGCAGGGTGAAAAAGCTGCTGAGTCAGAATTTTTGCTTCTTTTCTGTGGTTGATTCCGCTTGGGTGTGGCAAAATTCCCCCCTCCAGAATACGAGGGGCCGCCTGGGTATTGCTTAGTGACGTCGTTGATTGACGAAGATTTAGGTGGTGTTCTTTGCATTATGTTCCCACGAGTAGGGTC